TGAGTGTTAACTGAAAGTAAATGGGTGTTAACGTACGTGAAGTAGAGCTTAGTTCATGGAAATCATGCTAAGGCACATTACACTTATGCTTCAAGAAATAACATGAATGATCATGGCTTGCAAATTTAAAAATACTTGGAAAACTTTCTATGCTACTAAGCCCCACAGTGTTGCTTGCTACCTTTAAAAGAAAATGAAACAGCGACAGTCTGTTTCTGCAAGGATGAGAATGTCTCACTGGTTACACTGAGGTTAGAAATACAAGATAGCAATGATATAAAGATACGAGAGCATCTACTGATGATAGCACAATAATAACAACAATAGCAGTGTATCGAGTTCTCGTGCGTTCAAGTTCCTCTCGCCAAGTGATGACGGGCTGCGCGAGAGGCGTGTCCCAGAACGCGGTACAGATCCACGGATTGGACAATTAGATTTAATGGGGGAAACAAGAAACAAGTACAGAATAGCCTATTAGTGAGGAAATGTCTTGGACGGCCGAAATATATATGGGAGGATTATAAGCCTATTACAACTGATTTTAGGGCAACAGGCTGGGAGGATGTGTCCAAGTCAACCTTCTCAGAGGGCCGTGTCCCACAGTTCTGAAGGAAGATTTGCAAGAAGCGATCAGCCCCACCCTGATGTCTGGCCCTGCTGAAGCGTGATATAAACTCCACAAAATCAGGTATTTATCTGGCTGTGACACGACGCGGTCTTTCAACTGTGAAACTCACGCAAGGAATACGATGTTGCTCCTTATCAAACGAAGCCCAAGTTGGGATCGCGCCAGCCACAACACCCGTATCGACAGAAAGCAGTATGCATGATAGTATCCTCCCATCTACGCCTAGGTCTTCCTATTGAATGTTGCTACAAAAGTTTATATAGCTTTTAGCATTGTCTGCAGAAAATGCATAAAATGAACGCACAATAGGGAACTCTCTATTTATCTGGATCTTCTTAACGGATATTACATTCTGTGTCTTATTAGGATGACTCCTTCTGTAGTGGCCTGTAATTAAGAACTGCACAGCAGAGCCCCCTCCCACAAGCCGACATCTCCTCAGTCAGTCAAAGAGTTTCCCTTCTTTCACGAAAACTGACGCTTCAATAGGCTTATCGTGTTCACACAGGCAGCCAATAAAACGTACCTTCAGCCAGACGAATCTAGTCCACACTCTCCAAAGCCTATTTTTTCAAGATCCATTTTCATATTATCCTTTTGTGACTTCCAAGAGGTCCAACAGCTTAAAGTTTTCCGACGAAAATTAAGTATTTCTGGTCTCTCCCATGTGTGCTACATGCCTTGTCCATCCCATTCTTGATTTCATCACCCTAATAATATTTAATGATTAGTAAAAATTATGAAGAGTTGGTCACGGTAGCCGAGAGGTCTAAGGCACGTACTGTCTTCGTTCGCTTGGAAACCGGTATCGTGGGTTCGAATCCCACTCAAGGCATGGCTGTTTAGTTTGTGTGTGTGCGTTTTTCTGTGTTTGTGTACAGGTAGAGGCCTTGCGACGAGCTGATCACCCGCCCAAGGAGTCCTACCGAATGTGTAAGATCTAGAAAAACCGAGTGAACGGAGAAGTTCATGGAGGTAGGCCTAGGCCCACTGGGGCTGTAGTGCCAAGGGGAAAAAAAAATTATGAATCTCCTCAATATGCACTTTTTTTCTTCCATCCTCCCGTCACTTTCTCGTCAATTCCCTGTTCTCACATACCATCACAGCCCGTGTTCTTCTTTCAGAGTAAATTAAACCTTCACACCCATAAGAGGCAAAGGACAAAATGAAGGTTTTGTATATTTTAATCTTTACGTTTTTAGACAGCAGACTGGAGGGACACAGATTCTGAACTGAAGGCAGAAAGTGAGGGTAACAGACAAGAAACAGAGGTCACTCTACGTTATATTGAACCATATGACGTGAACAGAACAGATTAAAGGGTGATAATTAAATGACTCTTGCATTGATACAACTGTCTGATGAAGAACTTCAGGGATACAAAGACACATTGAGCACCAGTCCAAGACGCGAACTGCTGCACTGTTGGTTGCATTACGTAGCAAGATGAGCTGTAGCTGTAGCTACAGTGCATGTGGTGTATATACGTGGCATTTCGTTTTGACAAGAGCGCTGAAAGTCTCAGTAGACAGACCCACATTTCTGCTTCGTATGCAGAATGTCTCGTGTTCCAGTCTCAGCCCGGTGACTGACTATACTGACTCAGGGTTCTCATTATTTTCCTCTGTCTCATCAGACAAATGCTTCAGTGCAATAACTTGAAATCAGGCCACGTCAGTTCCTTCCGCAGCCTTTTCAGTCCATTATTCAGTGATTATCCAGTCATTCGACGGTATATAGACTGAGCATTTGGAAGCGTCGTTAAATAAATTACAACGCAATAAAAAAAAATTAAGCGTAATAACTTCGAGCGCGTGTACCGTCGAGGTCGCCCACACACAGCACACGGTGATTCCCCTACTGCGTAAAGACATCCCACGCTAAACACACTGCTCTAGTTAAACCCTAATACAGGCTTACAACAACTTTGCAACAAATGAACAACAAAGACAATTTATCTATCTATGGCTCTATGGACCTTGGCCACTTTTTCAGTTTCATCATCTTTAATACAGTCGGTAGGATTCCTTGGACGGAGGATCAGCCCGTCACAAGGCCGCTACTTGCACACAGAACAGAACAGACACAGAATAAACGCACACAGACATCCATGCCTCAAGTCTAATTCCAACCCACGATCCCAGTGTTTGAGCGGGCGAAGACAGTTCATGTCTTAGACCCCGCGGCCACTGGGATCGGTAACAAAGACAAATACGCAGGCAAAATTTCAAAGAAAGTCTCTACAAGACAAGAAATTGCATGCAAACTGTTCAACACAAACGTGTGACGTGTGGTCGACACAAGAACTGCAGGAGCCAGAAGCAATTCTCAGGACACATCACTCAGATTTCGGGCCGATCTCAGCTTCGATCGGTTTTTACTGGGCAGGCAGTTCATAACCTTCTTCTTGAGATGCCGATAGCCACTCCGACAGTAAAAAAGATTTCCCGCCTTTTACGGGTTCCGAAGGTCCTTTATCGTATTCACAGGAGTCATAGAAACTAAGGTCATTCCTCAAAGCCTTAACAAGCTAACTGTCGCTCACCTACTCTAGAAATTCCTCAGCTTTTATGGGAACATAATGTTCAGTGAAGAAAGCAGTCTTCTGGGATTTGGCACCGTGTATATGTGGTGTTAACCGACGTTTCGGAGGAAGATGGGGGCGATACGTTCCTCCGAAACGTCGGTTAACACCACATATACACGGTGCCAAATCCCAGAAGACTGCTTTCTTCACTGAACATTATGTTCCCATAAAAGCNTCCCACCACCACCACTGTGTCGCCGCTATTAAACCCAACCGGTTAATAGTGTGACATGACGCCTCAAAGCCGGAACGAGTATTAACAGAGCACGTTCCCGTGACAACGGGTTACCATGGGATTATGCACTTCCGTGAAAACACTTGACTAGGCATATTGGTTACTGTGGAACTGGAAGTGTTTGTGTGGTAACGCGTGTTTAGGCAGATAAGAAACACAGAACACTTCAAGGAGATGTTTCCTATTCCAGCCACCGAAAGTTATAAAACGGAGAACAATTTGGCCAGCAGAGACAACGGGAGACTGCTATGGAATTGGGCTTGGCTTCGTACGGACTTGAATCACAGAGCATCCAATAGCTGAAGTGTTGAAGACGTTAGTTCAAGTGTGTAACTGTAAGAGAACACAGACGAATCCATTCATTCCATCTACAACCCGTTATTTCCGTCACGCGTACCCCCTTACACACGATAATGTTTACGGAAACAATCGCTGTTTATTCTGAGAACCATACGAAACACATAAACACATTATGTGGGCAAAATTTAATATTTCTTTATGTTAAAACAGATGATACATATAGTTACCGCTGTGATTTGAAGCAGTTATGCCATACAAAGGGGATGACTGACGTTCTCTGAACAGTCAACTTGATCAAAATATTCAGCGCCGCCCCAGAACGCGAAAGTTCATCACTGGGTACACAAAATCAGAGCACATGACTTTGTTTCCCTTTTCTATTCACCCATATAGCCAACGCCAAGCAGCAATGTCGGTCTTGAGATGCTAATAGTGGCTCAGCTAGTCAAAAACTTCCCTTCCTCTTGTGGAACCCGAGGTTTCGTTACTGCTTTCACAAGTTCATTCCACACCCCTATTTCTTTAAGCTCCTTTATCATATTATCCTGCTTTAAAACAGTCTCCTCCCTTACGGTTTTCCGACTAAGACTATGAACTTTTCATCCCTCACATGCATGCTACATGCTCGGCCTAGTTCACCCTCTTTCATTTGCTCATCCTAATATTTTGTGAACTGTACAAATTATGAGGCTCCTTACTATGTAATTTTCTCTGTTCCCCCGTTCTAAAATACCCTCAATATATTCTGCTATCAGGTGGAGAGATAAAATTTCGCAGCCATACAGAACGAGTAAAATTAGATGTTCGTATATTTTAAATACTTAGGTTTTTAAACTGCAGACGGCAAGACAAAGGTTCTGAACTGAATAGCAATAAGCATTCCCCGATTTTAGTCTGCTCTCAATTTCTTCATATATCTAATTTTCATTTGTTACTGTCATTCCAAAATATTTTAAATTTGCCACATTCCCGAATGATCTATTAGCTATCATTAAGCTACGATTTTGGAGACGAGACATGAACACACATATTCAGCAGTAGGATCTGTAGTCGCCTCCTAATTGGATTCTTCACACGAGTCTTTGAATGTGTATTTGTCATGAAACGTGTGAAAATGAAATTCGCTCCGTCTGTGTATACCGGAACTTTTTTTGTGATAATTCTGGGTCCATCGTAACTCAAATACAGCGCACGCCTATCTGCAGTTGCCAAATTTCGTCAACTTCCATGAGAACAGCACTGTCACTCACCTGGCTCTGGACGTGCAGCAGGAACATTCTGCACCCAGCCTTACTCGGCCACCTCTCCACCAGCACTGAGCGGGCGCACACGCACACGCAGCAAGCCATCTGCACGCCAGCGCCATCCAGCGTCATGATGAAGAGTGACACGGCAGCAATTAGCAACAATTTTAATCCCAGATACTCGTAACAATGCATTGCTGTCTTCACCATTCTTCCTCCGTCAAGAGATGTCGCTCGCTGAGATATGAGCTTCACTTCCTCAGCTCCTCTCGTCTGCTGCCTGCATTTGTTCGATAACTGCTTCACATTTCTGCACACACAAATATCGATTTGAAGCTCTCGCGCAAACGAATTGCAGGGTGACATGCCACCTCATTAAATTTTACAACTGTTCTTTTCGATATATTACATCACACATACTACGTTATCACTTTCCCAAAATTACCAACTGTTTCTATAGAAATATTAGAAGGTTCCCACATTTTACCCTTCACTCTAGGAGGGAGAAGAAAAGAACCGAGGTTACAGTGAAGCCAGTAGTATGACCACACGCGGACTGCGTGAAACGACACTATATCTACTGTAGAGATTTTTCAATCTCGTTAGTCTGGCAGTAATGAACAATGGGTCCCACGCACTCGAAGAGGCATTTATGTTGGCTGCATGTTTTGATATACAGTATGTATAGCGATGGACAGTATGCTAATTCAGGTCAGCATTTGCATTCTGATTGGGCAGTCGCCGCTCCAGACTTCTATTTAGCAAATTCAAGTGGCTTGTCTTTCGATATGTATTTTGAGAATATATAACTAGATTTATATAAATTTCTTAAGATTTTCGGCTTAGGATTCTCCTGTCGTTACTGAACAATGTGTAAGGGCCTGAGACTTTCGATCTGTCTGACGTGTCCATCTGGGTCAAATAAAAGATGTCCGGACTGTAAAATGTAAACACGGAGGCAGTGAGTTCTCTATTCGTACAGTCGCTGAACTTGGTTTTGTTGTTACTGATCTGCCATACTCAGCCAAATCTCCATCCTCAGAACCTGAACTTGTGCTTCCCTTAATCGAATTCAACTGACAGCAGAAGCCAGAAGGAAAAATATGCGGACAAACATTGTGTGGCTCAATCGAATGTCCAAGGAACTACCGATGCTTCGTCTCCGCCATTACAATAAATCCTACACTGTGTTGACTCAATCCAGCATACTCCTCACATTAAATTTCCTCGAAATTCGATTTAAAACTATCCTTCCCTCTACTTCTAGATCCCCTCGACGTTTGCCCCCTAAAATTTTGTATGTATTTCTCATCCCTCCCGTGTGTGCTGCATGCATGCTCATTTCATCCTCTTCGATCTGATAATGGTAATCATGTTTCCTGAAGAGTACAAGTTATAAAGCTCATCATTGTGCATATTTTACCATCTTCCACTTATTTCCTCTCTTAGGTTCAAATGCTTTTCTTCAGACACACGTGTTCATAGAGGAAGTTAAACCATGAAGCTGCGTTTCCTGACCGCCAAAACAAGTTACGTTGGCCCAAGCGGTAATTCTTCTGACTTATAATCGGGACGAGACGAGTTCGAAATTCGGTCGGAACACTGACCATCCTGAGGTTCTTCATGGTTTTTCTCAGTCCCTTCGAGCTCTGCCCTAAATTAGGTCACATGCGCCTTCTTCCATATCCTTTCCCCTTCAATATTCACCTATTCATCCTATGCATTCGACGCTATGTACATTCTGAGCTCCTGACACTCTGGTTAAACCGCAAATTATGATTACTGATGATATTAACAGACAGACACACGACAATTCCATAAGCCCGTTACCAAGGCGACCAGATTAGCGAAATCATGGCCCGCTGTATTGATTATAGGTTCGTTCCACAGCTATTAGACCTGCAAGCGGCGCGACCAACTGACCTTATAATCGATTGCATTTAAACTTTTAGCTATGTGTTGCAGTGGCGGATGCTGTACGCCATCACGACTGCCCTGGCTCCGTCATTGCCTGCATGTAAGCGTCGATCGATAAGTAAGAGTTCGCGTATTCGAGTCCCGCTGTGGCGTTCGGAACGTGCAGAATGAAGTCTGATGACGACCAACACACACAAAAAGTAAAATTAAATAAGTCGGTAAACTCAGAGATCGGCATTGACGAGATTGAATGCTAAAACACTTCTTAATGAAAAAGGATAAGCTATGTATCAAGTCCAATAACGGGCTCTTGTGAACACGATAATGTAGCTTTTAGTTATAGTAACTTATTAGCTAGCTGAAGGACTATCAGTTTCTCAGGCACACCTTGTACACATTGAGGAGTTTACGGCAGACCCTGAACACTCTAACTGAACAAGCATTTTCCAGCTTCAGGTTTCGGCCAGTTTACCCCATTAATATGGGTCCCAGGGCCGCTGGCTCCAGCGTAACCTGGGTCCAATCGCGGAGCTCGCTGCCAGTCACTGCTGGGGCCTATGCGGGCTGAAAAGGGCAAAGTTTTGGCAATTTAGAAACATGACATAACGAATACCTTGACGACTTAATGCAGCTCACCTAACCCTGTTAAAGTAGCGAGGTCAGAGAGGCTACAAGGAGCTGGACACAGAAGTGTTGCGGAAACCTCACGCAAAGCGCCGAATCTGCACACTGAAGTGGCACGGGAATAACATTCAGCAAATGGGTTGTAAGGGCGGGAGGTGGATGGAACCCACTCAGAATCATGTTTAATGGTGGACTGTTATATTAGCAATGTTGAATCTTCGGGTTCTGCTTGCAAAGGGTTGGAGTTTGAGACTCGTGAGAAGTGACAGCTGACACCATTGAAGATCGAACACCGCTCTGAAAGCAAGTTATTCTCACATGTTTACAAATGGGCTGTGACAGGTACCGTATTGTTCGCCGGGTTGCAATCAATTAGCGGAATTGTGGGGGAATGACTTTTTAGTTTCAATTACCGAATGTCGCAATTTTCAATTGGCCCCGTGTGACGCATGTGCAGCCCACTTCGTATCGTCACTGCTCTTCCGGCCCGAGGTGACAGCTACGAGCGGCTACGAGCTCAGAGGTGCAAGATCCGAGTGTCTGCACCAGACGCGGTTTTTCTGATCTTCCGAGTTTGTCATTTGACACCCGAAATTCATCTAAATGGTATTTGAAAAATCAGTTCCAGCCAAGCCGAAAACATATTTCGACTCTGAAGATTGCTGTCTTCTGGGTTGTACGCCATATACGTAGTCTCGTAGATAGTAACCAACGTTTCGGACAAACCTATTGCGTCTATATTCAAGGTAGCACAGTTGGTAAGGATCTACGATACTACATGGCGTCCCGTTCCAGATGACAGCGATCTTCATAGTCAGGGACGTGGGAATCTCAGACCTCACATTACGTCACCGCTACAAAGCCCAACCGGTTAATGCTGTTTAGGGAAACAGCCGCTATCGTGAGAACCATACGTAACACACAGATACACTCTGTGGCCAGAATGCAGAGTTTTATTATGTTCAGTCCGTACCTCACAGGAAACACATTACGTCACCGCTACAAAGCCCAACCGGTTAATGCTGTTTAGGGAAACAACCACTATCATGAGAACCATACGGAACATTCAGATACAGAGCAAGGGCAAAATGCAGAGTTCCTGTATTACTACTGCAATATACCCTTCTGCCTAGTCACCCAGTTTCAGTCAGGTGTCAGGGGTGCCCTGCTGAAGTGTTAACTGCCGGTTCGCATGCTCAACCCTCAACTGGCGAAATATTTCCGTTCCCCCTCACTTTTTAAGATGGAGTGGGGGGCTACTTTCAGGGCACTTTTATGATCACTTCTGAAAGTGTAGATATGGATGAGCCGATATGGCTCCAACACTCACCAGACGCCCAAAACACTTGGTTCAGGATGGAAACGTGAACTTCGGAATTACGTAACCGCAATTATACTGCGCCTAGAATATCCTTGAGTGTGAGTCATCGTATACTGACGTCATCACTAGAAAGTTACATTTTATTTTGAAAGTACAAAGGGAGCCAAAATCGCCACATAGGAGATCTCGTCGAACACACCGAGCTTTTGTTCCATTGTGTTACCTACTCCAGCTATGATGCATCCTCAAAGTCGCGTCAGAGCAACAGATGCAGCGCGTGAAATTACCGACCTCGATAGCTCAGTCGTATAACAAGCACACCAAAACTTGTAGCATCACTCTTGATCTATAACTTACTAACACTTCTGACTTGACATTTCCTTCTGTACCATAATTACGGAAAAACGCATCATGCAAATTACATGTGGTACAAAATAAAGATCTAATTTAATTGCATTTTAGGTTCTCATAGCGGTAACCACGAAGATTGCTGATTTCTGGGGCGTGATGCCATGTAGTCCAGCAAAAGTCCACAGACATTTTAGCAGAACGTACTGCCTCCGTCTCCAAAGTCGAAGAGTGGGCGTTGCTTACCTTACACTTAAACTGTGAAGATGGAGGCAGTATCTTCCGCCGAAACGTCAGTGTACTTTTATTGGACTACACGCCTCATATAGATTTAACCAAGAGCCATAACTTATTCAGATCCCACCTTGTCATGGTGGAGCCTGCATGGCAGAGAAGTAGAGCATTGTACCAATGGCAGTGTTGCCATTGGTAGACCAGAACTCTTGCTGGACAAGCCATATGATACACTCCTAATGGGAAAAGAACATCCCACAAATATGGAGACAGAAAGGCAGCAGCCCAACGCTAAATTTGCCCATACTTTTTGGGGAGAGTCCACTACTCAAACCACACATGCCAACCGGACCCACTTCAAGCCCTGCTCAACTTTCCTTCATGGCACCTGCTTGCTATCCATCTCATCAACAAAAATGCACACAGAATCATGTACAGGGGACGCCAAGAGATGAATATGTTGGAGGAGACTCCAGGGGATTTTCCCCATATGTAGCAACGCAGAAGATTCAAACCACACATAAAGGCAATAAGGAACAAAGATAGAGTGAGGGATGAGATTCTGGGCCAAGAGGATGATGGTAAGAACAGATGAGGGTGAAGTACAATTGAATTTAGATGACCAGTAAGTAGGGGTAGTAAAGCACAATAGACCACTGTAGGTTGCGGTGGAAGGGCCGAGGAGCCCTACCCCTCATACAAGTAGGGGTAGTAACATGATATGCATAATTAAAATGTTAATGTATAGTAGACACATTCTGTACTGCAGGAATAGTAATTTCAGCAGGAGAACAAAGTGCAGAGCAGGGAATCAAAGCCAAATACCTGAAAGGAATGACTGAACAAATGAGGTGACAGAAGCAACAGTGCGGGCAGAACAGATCACTGGTGCCCATTTGTCAGGACGAAGAAAACATTTGGGACATTTTTTGGTATGGAGAATGTTTAACAGAATTCTGGTTCTGTATAGCACAAACACAATTATGACAAAACATTATACAACTTGGTCACAACTTGAGTATGAATCGAGTTCTGTCGCCAATTTTATTCAAGATTATGTAAGTGCAACATCTGCTGGTTGGTTTACATAACTTCTGCAGTGGACACATCACCACCTGCACTGGGAAACAGATTTGTGTCCACAGTAACAGTAGTGCCTATTTTTCTTACTGATTGCTCTGGAGTATTCAGGACAGAAGAATACATTTTGTAATATTTTTAGTTTTTATTGCTAATTTTTTATGTATTTCCTTTTTTCTGTTTTGATTTTTTTTTTCAGATTCATTTGGAAGGGTGCATATGCCTGGTCTGCCCCCCTGCTGGTGCCCTTGTGAACAAAGAACACATCTGGAAACCAAGGCACTCCAGTTGGATATGCAGTTCCCACAGCAGTAACTTTCCTCTGGGATGTGGTGTCATGTAGTCTGAAAGATGTTCACCAGCGTTTCAGAGGAATGAAGCGCCTCCATCCTTAGGCTCTCCCTGCTTGCCTGGCCTCCTCCTCAACACCAAAGATTCAAGCAGCAAACTCCTCCAAAATGTCAGCGAACTTCTACCAGACTACACAGTGTCACATGCCAGAAGACAGCAAATCTTGGGTTACTCCAACTTCCTTTCCTATGGTGAGCAACGGGTCAACCCGTTACCAAACCTTCCAGCAATTCACTCAGGCTCGTTACATTATAGCTTTGTAAGATGTGATGCCGCCACACACTCTGGGAGATAGGTACCAGTATCCATCTTCAGAATACAAGAAGTGAGATGAATAGGGAAAAGTGATATGTAATGTAGGAAAGTGAGCACTGGTATGAGGCCATGGGCGAACCAATAGGAGCCAGGAGCCCTGGAAACAACTGAATTCTTCTACCCCGAAGCAATGAATTATACTGCACACAGTTCATATAAACTCATCTCAAAGTCACTGTGTCTAAGACATACAGGGGGCATGAAGGCAGGGCTCCACCATGCTGTCAGCTTCACACCCACTTGACTAGCTCTTGGCATCTATCAGATTAGAGGCTGGGCTAGCTCTAAGAGATGATACAGATCTAGTAACAAATGGAGAAATAACAGTTCTATTGCTGGGATTTTAATTCATCACTTCTGCAACTGAGCAATCATGCCTCCTCTGTGTTGCAAGTTACTCCTAGTAAGAACACCCGTCAGTAGCATCACAAGATCCTGTCCGGACACAAAGCATTCTTCTTCCCTGTCTATCCTCCTGCAGATGCTCTCAGTGTCTCACAACTGATGTCTGTCAGGATTTTATGACTTCTTTTTCTTCTCTTCACTATTATGGCAAACAATCCTGCACCAACTCCATATATTCATTTACCCAAGAAGTATACCAATAATTTCTTTGGTGGGGGGAGTTACCCCAAAGTCACAACCCCCAACCTGGAAGACCAAGGCATTACTTCTCACCTGGTACTTATCTATCTATGCTACCAGTTGCATAGCCTTCGAGGTTTTCAGAGTTCAGAAATATTCTTGCCACAATAAGGTAGAAAGAGACCATTAAATTCAATCACATACAGTGGATTGAAGGTATGAGTGATCGTCCTACCTGTTACCAACATTATACAGAGTCTGTCAACATTCGGTCCTTTCATTGCCACTTTCTCCACCAGAGAGCTGCAGAAAAATAAATTTTTACAAAGCACGCAGAAGGAGCTGAACAATGCAGCATTATCTGCCAGCAACCAGAATGGATGAAAATGGACAATAAATGATCCCACAATACCGGACATCAACTCTGCCAATATGCACAGGATAACAAGCGTGGGGAAGATGAAAAAGTGAGATCTAAAGACAGATTTTGTTAGTTACAGAAAAATAATTTCAATATTAAGGCATGACACTTTCCCACAGCTCGGCAAGAATCAGCAATGGCATAAACTCACACCCAGTACTACTACAGCATCGCACTCCTCACTCACTGCTCCACACATTCGTCACACAAGTCTTGTGCTGAGGCAGCACCTGCAACACAGCACCACGGGCAAGTTATGTACGTCACCAAGGCTTCTGACTCCAGTCTTAACCACCACACAACCCATATGCCTGACTTACATGAACCATGATGACACTCAGCCTTGAAAGACAAAGTAGAACTCCTCTGGATAACCCATCTCTCCCAGAAACCTGCAACAAAATGGTGGGTTCTCAAAAATCTGTAGTTGGTGCCATCTTGCTGACAGTGACAAGTCTGGCACAAGGAGGGGAGAAAACCACCATCATCATAAAAGACTTTATTAAGCACCATGCCACAAAGACACATGGGGAAGTACAAGTAGAGCTCGCACTAAATGGAGGTGAGTGGTGAGCTTGATACCCCAAATGCACCCAGTGGATAGGATATAGGGAGAGGCCCTCCAGAGATTGCATAGACATTGTAGTTAACAGAAAAGTCGCTGCATCTTCCAGGGACCAAACCTCAGATGTCCATCACATAGCTTATTCACTACACTAAGTTATTCCTGCACCACCATAAATGTCAAACAGTAATAAATATCTGGTTATGAGCCCCACGTGGGGCTCATAACCAAGACTTACTGACTGACTAACCGTCAGTCGCAATGTGACTTTGACTAGAGACAGCAGTCAGTTGAAATACAGCAGGAGCCAGACTCTGTCAAAGTCCAGCATTCGCCGAATTAGTTGCATCAAGTGAATGGAGAATCGCAGTAGTGGTAAAAGTGATAATAATTGTACTTGAGTGTGTAAAACAGTGTGTTCAATAAATATTCGCTGAATCCGAGACCCACATGAAATTATTTGTCATGTTACCTAGGAGACAGAAGTAGGTTACCAGGTACCACACAACAATATATTCCATAACATATAATAACATCCATGTTATCTTAAAACACTTCCCACAGTGTGAAGAAGAATGATAATTAGGAGCTGTTTCCTACTCACAGAGAATGAAGTTCTTACCTGACAGATGATTCCCTAAATTGATCAGGACCACAGATGCACACAAATGTGTCATGCTTCTTTTGTTCAGTGAAACTGGGTACCACTGCTTGCAACATGTCCAGATTCAGAAGTCCCGTCTGCCCTGACCATTCACTGTCTGCCGCTGTCAATACGTGCGTCACACAGAATCTGTAGCCAACATTTCAACTCTGTTACACATTTCTGAGGGCCTCATCATCCATGCATGTGATACACATACAGCTCACCGACCTTGTGTCTGTGGTTGCAAGTCTGTCCAGCTGATCCTGCCACAAGATGTCTCTGCTTGTCAGGTTGAAGAATAAAAGGCTCACCTTCTGGCTGGAACAAATATTTCATGCACAATGTCAAGATTAAAATAAACTGTGTTGAAATTGCTTATTTACTGTGACAACCACACATCTTAACCCATGGAAATAAAAATGATTCTGAAAGTGCAAACAGACATAACATCACACATATTTTCTCTAGACATGTCTTGAATACTTACATTAAATCAAGAAGAAAATTCTCCATCTTAACGTAAATGTTAATTTTTAATTTTTGAACTCTGAGAACTTTCTGATAACTGTTTGTGCTTTGCACACCTGGATATCAAAAGGGAGCATAGTGGTATTTGCCGACTGGAAGATGAGATGTATTTCCACTTCTAAGGGTTACAAATCTACAAGTAGTCTGACATGAATTTTAATGCTTCATACTGAAAGTGTTAATGGCACAGTCTGCACCCCGGATCACTAGTTTGCATTGTTGTGCCACAAGATAACAAGGTCAGAAATCATAAGATGCCATGAGGTCACCCGAAGTACCAATGAAGTTACATAACAAGTTCACTGATTTATGCTATCAAAAGATTCTGAGTTAATGTGTGACTCAACATAAAAATGGCTGATAATGTTTATATGGGTACTACACAAACCACCTCACAAGCATGTAATAGAAAATGTATAGCTTTTTCTTTCTCACTACATGTTTTGACCACACTGGTCAATGGGTGAAACACAAATTTCTAACACATATAATTTTCTTTCTTTTTTTTTTTGGTAAAATGTAATGCTACATAAATGTGTAACACAGAAAAAACACAGGTGGATTAGTCAGATCCAACTGAATTATTACATAAGGGCAGTGTAAAATATAATATTACAATCTGTCTAGTCACTCTGTATTCGAGTTCATGTTCCAAAATCATGTTAAATGACTCTTTGGTTTTGGTGGAGTGGAGTTATTAATTGGAATTGGATGTTTAGAGGTCACCAGTAAGGTAGAGTGAAGTAGGTGTGCTCAGAAGTTGTGTGACATGGTAGAATGCGTCTGGAGGCTTGGGTTGGAGTGGGCCACACTTATGATTCATAATGTAACGTGTCTGGAATCCAGAAGTCACTTCTATGGAAATGCTAGAACAGACTATTGCATAAGAAGTAACAATAGCGATACTGTAACCCCAACAGTGAGTAGTTGTATCGAGAAAATTGAATCTCCACGGTTACGACAAACAAAGCAACGTCTCCATGGTTATAACAGAGGGTTCATTTGCCTAGCAGCGGCGAGGGTATAAATAGCCCAGCTTCGACGAGAAGCAGTCAGTTGTGATCGAGCCTCCAAAGAAGGAGTCTCAGAATAGTCTTCGGAGAAGTCAGTCGCAGAATAGCCTTCGGAGAAGAAAGTCTTCATCGGGCCAGCTAAGAGGCCAGCCGTGATCAAGCCTCCGGAGAAGAAAGTCTCGGATCAGCATTCGGAGAAGAGAGCCCAGTGTCTCGCCGAATATTGTGAGCAGTGATTGTAACACTGCAAGTGCAAATGATTGTAAAGCGTGTGTAAGGCGAGCGATAAGAATAAACTCGCAATATCAAAGAACGGCGTGAACTTATTTGTCGCGTTATATGCCCAATACGTGACAATACTTTAAGATTATGGTGATTAAACACACAGAACAAACAACTGTGAAGTAGCAAATAATACAGCGTTTCCTGAGTCAAACATAAAAAGAGTGAAACAACATAAAACCAACCTTACGTCAGTTCTATGTGAAAAGTGTCATTCGTATGAACTCAAAGGCAGAATTGAACGTCAGTGTCATGCAACATCATCACTCAATGAGAGGCTGAAATTTTAATGTCATTTAACACTGGATACAAGATCTATGATTCATGCAATGAATATTGATCCTCTGGTCATAGCTGGCCAGATGACTTCGTAATTGTATATTCTACTGAATAACTCTGTTAAGGATCATCTGAAACAACCTTACTGGCTCTTGGTTTTAGGGGGGGAGTCATCTTGAAACACCAGGGCCATACACAACAAAGTACAACCACTGTGCCAGTGAATGAAGACCATGGCAATGGATTTGTACAGTAGTGATAGTCAAATTATTTCAAAAGTGCCATATGGATGGATGGCAGAATGACAAAAACCTTGCGGTCAACATGAAAGTGTAAGCAGTGAATGTGAGATAGCAGATGGGAATTGTGATGACAAATAGGAACGGGAAACAATATGAGACCGGCGAAGCTTAATAAAGGTTAGTAACTTCAAAATTAAAGGTAACTAAACACATTTCAAGTATAACTTGCTTTCCAACATTTACTTTCTTTCACATGTTTTAATGATTATGAAATTACTTCATAAAATTACTTTTTTTTTGCGCAGACTCATTTCTTAATGCAAGGTTGTCTTCCATTCAGGCAAATATGCAGTGCACTGTGCAAAAGTGGCTGCATTATAAATTACTGCATAGAATAAAATTGGTTTACTGGAGAAAACTCTTATTTTCATTTACATCCTTGAATCTTTTTCCAAATTCTTGTACTGGAGTGAAAAAGTTATTCCTGCATATGCCTACTTTTACCTTAGTATATTTACCACCAGGGCACTGGATAGTTACCCTTTTATGCATGAAACAGTTGTCAAGCATTGAAATGTACCGATATAAACTGATTTACATTAAAAACACCACACCTTATATTTTCTTAGCAGCTGAAGAACAGACAGAAACTCAAGAAAACTAGAGAGACAGATGGGGAATACTCTTCTCTGTGGAACACAGTGAGCAAGTTGATGCAAACATCAATGCTCCTGACTTGTATTCAAGAAATGCAAAGTGCAAGTTTGACTCCTGTAACTGAGGTTTCTTATGGCTTTCCTCAGTCCTTCCAGAAAAATGCTGGGATAAAGATAAAAAATATAGCTATTGCTGTAACAGGCCATGGAGGCCCATAGTGGTTGTGAGATGTAGAGGCTCTCAAATTTTCTAGACAGCTTACAGATGGTGGTGAGGTTGTCAGCCTTACGCACCGGTCGCCCTTTAGCCCAAGGAAGATTCCTGGTACATATTTCTGTTAAAGGCTGAATCGACCCCAAAGCCATAGTGCAGCTGGAAGAATCTGGTAAAATAAAAATTCCAATGACCTCATCAGGAATTGAACCTGCAACCTTTCAGTTTGTAGCATAATGCCTCAATCAGCTATGCTACTGCATGCCTCCAAAATTCTGGTACAGTACCTTAAATTAGGTCAAGACTGCTTCCTTCCATAATTGTGCCTAATCATTACCGATGAGGTCTTTGGATTTTTTCAATTGACCTAATCCTTCCGGCCGCACTATGGCCCTGGGGTTCACTCAGCCTCTAACAGAAATGAGTACCAGGAATTAAATCAATAATTTTCCTTGGGAGTAAAGCGCAGCCGGCGCGTAAGGCTGACAACCTTACCACCATCTTTGAGCCGGTTGTCTAGATAATGTGGGACCCTCAATGTCTCACAACCCTGTGGGCCTTCACGAGCTGGTACAGGGATAGCTTTACTTTACTTTACATTACCATCATACAAATGTTTGATGCTACATATTTTTAGTCATTGACAGTCTCATTAAATAAACAACGAATAAGCATAAATAAGCTAACACAGAAATCACAGTCCCTCTGTAAGCCATGTGGATGTGTCACACAGCACCAAAAACAAATGTTTTGACAGCCATTTTTTAAATTACTCACAATCTCTTTTTCTTGCCAGTACTGAGGGCCCAGAGGATGAGGTTCACCATAGGCGTGAGGCCTGAACCTGCAGCCAGCAGGCAAAGCCTGGTTGTGGCATCCATCACAGACAGCTGTAACAGCCCGACAGCTGGGCCCACATTCACCACATCCTCTGGTTTCAGGTCACACAAATATCTGCTCATCAGGCCGTTAGAGCACTGCTTCACCATCAAGCAGAGGCAGTCCTCACTCCAGTCAGGTGGCAGAAACTGTTCATCTAGCGCTGCAGCCATTGGTGTGTAGCTGCGTATCACTTCTGCACCTGTCAGCACACACAACATTCATATGAACACACCACCAGAGGAAACAATTAATTAACAGAATCATGTAATATTAATTGGAAAGTCCAACATTCACTGTAACAAATTTCTCTAATATAAGTGTAATTTTAAATTTATAATTGTATTTTTAGGCATTCTTTCAGTGAAATACAAGAAATGATATGAGTCAAATCTCTATGTCCGTCTGCATGTTTCATTTTTGTTAAGTCCTCAACAGATTTTTAATTTTATTCATTCTGGTCCTTCACACTAGTTAATTATTACAGAATGATCAACAGATCTGAATAAAATTTGGTATCAACTTTGTGCATCAAAAGCTATTAGGAATAATGAACTGTACAATAAAACCTTATTTAAAATTAAGTTCCTTGCTGTTGCACACCATAACCAAACAGGAATCGCAACCAGACAAATATTCTGTCAGTTTATCTGCTTCCTCTTGGTGTTATCTCACAATACATATTCTAGCCCCTTAAGCCACAATTTCTCAACCCGTGAGCCATGACCTACAGAATATGGGACTGCTCAGATCTCAAGAATTATGTCACACAGGATTTCCACACACAATTTTAGTAAGCCAGTATTTAGTATATGTGCTTTTATACAATGTAGCTGCAGCTAGTGAAACATTTTGCACATCTTTTCATGGCTGCACAGGAACATTTTACAGATGGAGGCTCTGGATATATTTTGGTTCTTCGTGTCATCATACAGCCTGACAAGACCTGGAACAATATGCAGAACTACATTTTCTGCTAATCGGCAAAGACTGGGGAGGGTTTGCATTTGTGATACAAATTTATGTATTATGTTAGCGGTCCACAAGTAAAGCCCCTGCCTTAAGGAGCCTTCCTCAGAGGCACTGTTTCCAGAATACTAAAGAAAACTAGAAAGTACAATAATTTTTTAAAGGCTGTAGTCTTAGATAAACACATAATCATGCCCACTTTCTCCTACTGCCATAATTATCAATTACTTTTCATTTCACAGTTACACTGTTTTAGATTATTAAAGCATTATAATTTAAAATGGAGCTGGGATAGCTATGGGCTGGACAAGTGAGGGGTCAGAGTTCAAGCCCATTAGGGTCAAGAATTTTCTCCTATCCACCTCATTCAGACCAGCTCTGGAGTCCTGGGGTCTCTTTCCCCAGGGATCAAGTGGCCGGGGCATGAAGCTGACCACTCACCTCCAGCTAGCACCGAAGTAAAAACATGTGGATCTATACATCCACTCCCTCATTCACCTTCATGGCATAGTGCTTAATTAGTTAAGCTCAGGAACAACTTTACCTTTTATTATAATTTCAAATTGCTAGTAGAACTATGTTGAAACTGAACGCAATATATTACCATCAATGGTGGCAAGTACTGGTACACTGTAGCCAATAGGAATGGTGTCCATGATTCGGTGCTTGTGGCGCAGCAAGATTAACTTGGTGTTATGGGTCACACTGGACACACTCACCACCTCCATGGGGTCATAAGGTTCTTGCCCCACATCCCTCTTCTGCCCGTCATCTTCCACAGGACTGCCGAGTTTGTGCCACATGTGAGGGGTGGCCTTGGTGAAGTATATCTCTACCATACCAGTGTCACAGTTAGTCCTCACCTTGCATGGCCACTTAACACTATCTTCTAGCAGCAAATGAGTCACATGGAGGAGACTCCCCAGCTTTATGTGTACAGTAAGGTCTTTGTGGCTTGTGAATAGCATCACTCGAGTCTGGGGGAAGTCTCCTAGTGTGAAGAACTGCAGAGTCACTGTACCAAGCTGCTGGTACCAGTCCATTGACACTGACTTCTCTTGGGGATCTGCAATCAATTCAAGATGCATATATTATTTTGTTAGAGGGATCTAGTTACTCTCTTACATTGAGGTGAAAACATTCGTTTCCAAGATGAAATTACCCACAATCTTTATCCAGCTAGCTATAATAAGGCTATGCAAATAAGTCCCATGGATGTTGTAGATGACAGTGCCTGAGCCCACCTCCTCTTCACATTGTGTTCTATTCCTCTCCGGCCTCCTTTGGCCTATGGCCCATAATGCTTCTCGCTACTGCAAGTTATTACAACCAACATTTCTGTGAACAGGAATTGTTGGCCTGGAGGGAATATAGGGAAGTGTGCTGGAGGTGGAAACATAACAGTTTAAGGGAAATGTGGAGAGGGTTAAACAATGGGACTTCTTTTGTGGTCTTAACACAGGGAAAGTACTGACACTCCTGAAATGATGAGTGGCAGAAGCAACTCAAAATGCTCAGAAGAGCACTAGCTCACATACCACACTGATCAGCACCTCTTTTAGTGAACAGCTTTCCAATAAATGTAGTGGTCTTCTTGTTCAGGACAGGCAGCGCCCCTGTGCTTCTGTTTGACTGCACTAACCGACCCACAAGACACTTCTGCAGCAGTGACTCAAAGTTCACCCACGGATGGACCTGAACCAAGAGGAAAACATACTATTCAACGGGAGGGATATTATATTGATTAAGAATCAAGAAATCTGTCATATGGAGCAGGAACATTGTCTGTTAATCTAAAGAGCTGATCAGAAAGAACAATATGAACCACCGGAATATGGAAGTCCGCACACATAATCTGCAAAGTGTGTCTGATATACAAAATGCTGCACGCACTTGTGTATCAAGTCCTATATAGAGGTGTGACATTATCTTGTCATTAGGTAGTTATTCCAGTTCTGTGGTTCTATTTGTACTCAGTGTGCTTTGGTAGAAAGGTATCAATATTTCAGAGAAACATACTGACTCCATTTCCAGGAAAAAACTTTGTAAACATGAAACTTGGAAGCAGCAGGTTTTTCCAAATCGGCAACTATCTTGCAGACTACATGCTGTCACAATCCAGAAGACATTATTGCAGTAACATGTCAATGTAAATGCAGCTGATAAAGAAGCTCCTCCCACATAGAACCCAAATGTTATTACAGCACAAGAAAATTGAACCACTGGACCCCATCCTGAGCCAGTTCAATCTATGTTACAGCTAAACCCAACAAATTATTAACCTCCCACTTATGCTTCCATCAAGGTTTTCAAGTGAAGTTTTGTGTACATTTCTTGTTGACCCCACAGCTGAACCAACCTGGGTGAAGAGGCTGGTGCCATCTTTGCCAATCCCTCGCATCAACTCTGCATCTCCGCCTGGGTGGAAGTCCATGTAATGTGTAACATTGTACACTCTACCTGGAAGCAAGAAAAGTGTGTAAACAATCTGTATGGAGCAGGATGCTACACATTTCATGCAAGAGAATGATGAATTTACTCATTCAGGGCTACCAGAATATTTGGCACCAATACATGGAGAGCCATCATTTATGGCACATGTGTGCACAAGGCAATATTTATGGAAAGTCTCCATACTCCATCATCACATGTGCACAGGGTATCACAAATGTTCAGTCTGTCATGCATGTTGTATATGTAAGCATGGCCATTATGCACATACCAGAATGTGCACAAGACCAGCATTTGGATACAAAAAAAGTCCACATAGTAATGCTGTAATTGGGTACACAAGCATGCCAAAAATATGCACATAGGAACATCGCATACCTGCCAAACATACGTCCAAAAGCACACCTCACAAGTGCCGAAAACGGGTAGGGGTATTACATGCATGCCAACTATATATGTTCACGTACTTGCTACAGAATCGTCCATATAGAAAATGTGGGTGCCTTCACTTTACCTCTGATGGCTATCCAGGCGTCATTCTTCTTGCTGTGGGCGGCCAATTGCTCCGGGGTCACGTCGAGGAGCACGCCTCCCACACCTGTCAGGTCCACACCAGAGTGACCCAACCTAACCCAGTCCATAAGCGAGTGGCCAGGTTTCAGGGCCACCTTGTTACGAAGATTCCCTGAAACACGGGGACTGAGGACATATCGGATCGTTCAAGAACTTAGACCTATCTCAACCTCTGAACCAACTACCTTCTGCGCCCTGAGATTTGGGAGCCATCTTGGAGCAGCAACTGCACCACGGCATGTTGCCGATCGATACTGGTGTAGCTGTTGCGGCACGAGACAAACGGTGCCATATCCGTTGCACAAAAGGTTTTCCCCTGATTTACGAAGAATCGTTCTCCGGATAGTTTTGCAGGGTGGCTGTCTTCGCCCATAGCTTGACGAGCTGACAATCGACATTCTTGTTATCGTTAACAAAATAGCGATGAATTCTCTCTTGTGTCGAAAAGCCTCCAATATTTGTTTCTTACAACACTTACAATAACAATGAGGTCCATTCGACCATCCATTCTTTCCAACTACTTGCCGTCACTTGAAATCTATCGAATAATCAGTTTTATATTTACGTATGTATTCTATAATTCCCTCCATTTCTATGCTTTGTGTACCCTCTGGTGGTAGAAATTATAATTACAACGATTTTCTAGCGCCGAAAAAAGTAAGCGCGTGTCGATTTGGAGTCGACGATTTTTCTAACAATTGTTTAGTCAGAAAATGTAACAAATTTGTTTCCAACTGCAAAAGGTCCAAAAATACTGTAACATAAAACACTCTTCAAATGAACAACTTCGCTACAAGATGTTAAATAAAAATTCACGCATACTTTAACGTTCGGAATGTAAACAGAGTACATTCCCACATACAGGCAGACAGCTATGGCCCGAAAAAAAAAAGTCTCAGGATAGGGGATTAAATCACATAAGCCGAACACAGCTTCCCAATAAAAATAAATGGAAGCGTCTGAGATCTGTTACCAATGGTATCCCGAGTGTTTTGTGTAGTACAGTACAACTTCACTATTTGAATAATATTTGCCATCCTATTATGAATAAATTACTGGTTTGGGGCTTTTCTATTATTTAATTACTGATGTTTATTCTGTGTACGGGTAGTTACACCTCCATGGTCTAAGTGTGTTGGTTTTTCAGCATTGTGTCCTGAAATTTGTAAGGGGGGCTGGTGCCTTGACTGGTCTAGTAGGGGCAGTGGACCAAGCAAGTTGAGTTATGTTGCAGCTACAATCTTGGGATTTGCCTCAAGGGACTGAATAAGCCACAAAACCTTAGGACACCAAAACTCCAGGCTCACATTTTAACCTAGGACTCCTAAAAGTGAAGCTAAGCGTTAACCACTCACCTGCAATGTTCATACAAACTTGTGTGTTGGGGTGTGTGTGTGTGTGTGTGTGTGTGCCCCTACATATCAAACTCAACCTTTTAAATATCAGTTATAAAAGAACCTTCCGCTCTGCTTATTAGTACATAACACGAATTGACTGAATGTGGTTCCCTTTTACAGAAATGATACAGATTTGTCATGGGAACATTATTTTTGGTCATGGATCAAGAATAATGTACAACATTTCAGAGAATGTGTACTGCTTGAAGACTCTATCAACAGCATCTGCATACTGAAGCCACAACTTTGTTAACTGCTTCCCTTATTATCCCAAGTTAATTCAGTAAATCCATGTTGTGTTATGATAGAACTCTCTTTGTAATGAGAATTCAAGTTTTCTTCACTAAATGGTAGCACTGAACAGCTGGAACCTTGGTGCAACAGGAGAAACCTTGCAGTCTTTACTCACTATAATATTATGTGAGCAGCTACTGTTTGTATACGATTATATATGGCTTTATTTCATTTTTTTCTTGGTAAAAAGGAGACAAAAGATGATTTTTAATGCTAATTAATATGATGGGGAATATGATATTTTGGAATACAGTTCCAGAATTTAAGACTAAAGCTCAGATTCAGATAGCTCAACTGATATATTGCAAGCCGCACAATAGAGTGAAGCTCTCCTTGCACCACCCTGCTTCCCTTTCAGGGTGAAACCATATAATGATATTTCACAGTTATTCATTTTCTTTGGTAATGAATTCACTAATGGTTAAAAATTACTGTTTTCCAGGGCATGACCCTGGTAGATCGCTACCCATATCTGGGAGAAACTGCTGCCTCTCTCTTCATGAGAGCAGAGTAAGCCAAACATGAATTATTTTTGTGGATTATTTAATAATGCTGTCAGTAGCTAGAATACTTAATGTTCAATGGTAGGACAGATGAATGATGAACTGGAACAAATTTGGAAGGAAGCAATTATGACCTGAGGGAAACCGAAACATGAAAGAAGTGGTATGGATATATGGGAAGGGACAACTGGGGGCCAAAAGCAAATCAATAAGAATAACAGTGTAAGGAGAATCTGGCTCATTTTCATTGTCACTGCTATAAGACCCTCAAATTTCACATAGCTGATGGTAGTAAACCCAACTTCTACACTCAACAGTGCCTGTAGAATCAGGCAAAAGGTCTGGGGAACTCTAGGCAAAAACAGTCGCATCCAGATTCTATTTATAGAATTATGTAGTCTTCAAGGAGAGCTTTATGGGCAGTCAGCCATATCAAAATGGAATGGATTTCTGATGTTTTCGGAACTGTCACTGTTTGCAACATTAATTATACATTTATATGATCAATCTCAGATGATAGAGACATGAGACATTTTCTGAAACACTATAAATCCATTCCCGACAGACTGCCTGAGAGATTTTATCGCATCTACATGCCACGAAAGCTTCGTACTGTTTTCTTGTCAACTGAGGCACACCGCACAGCCAGCTATCCATAGCCAGACTTTTGTATTCACAAACCATAATATACTTATATTCAATTGTCACTGGGATGCAATGAAGATGATTCAATAACTATGACTCTTAGACCCAATCAATCTTACATATCTACACCCCCCTCCCCCAAAAATACTCAATTCTATGGCTATTTCTGAACAGAATAAAATTTCAGATTATGACAGATGTCTCCTTCAAGCATTGCAAATGTAACGAAAATAGAACATGTTTCCTGAAACATGGTACAGTGAGGCACTTGTTCTGTAATTTGCATTTTAATTCTGGGCAGTACAATAAATTCTTACCTGTGGCTGAACCACTGCCTCCAGATGCAGTAAGAGCCATTCTAACTGGAGTCAAGGACTCCTTCATTTTGTGTACTGTCCCTGCAACAAGAAAATTGCATGCACTTACTACAGGACTGCTCAGACATCTGTGAATAGGAGAATAACTTCTTTTGAGGAGGTTCTGCTGCTCATATAGAAAAGCTGTACTCACAGATTATTACTAGGGGTCCTGCACATGGTAACACATGCACATAAAATGTCATTACTGGGCACAGATTATCACTGTAATAATTTACTAGGTTAAATTCTGGAATGTGGACATATTCATGAGACAGTGGCCAGTATCCATCCCTCTTTTGTCATGTTAGATATTTCTTCTGCCTCCACAAACTAAGACTCTTGCTGATTACTGTCCTTTTGAATGTGACGTTTTTAAAAATCTTCTACCAGACCACACGGGATCACAACCAGAAGACAGTTATCTTAAGTCAAGCACGTAAAAACCTCAGAGGTTTCCTAAAGTACCTTTCTTCCAGTTCAAGTGGCTATTAACACTTCGAGATATATAATTACACTGCACCCTCTGACTGCTCTGTCCCATTCAAATTTCGCGCCGAAGTTGATACAAGCTCAAGCCATCAGCAAATTTATTATGTACGTATGTAAACTTGTTCAGAAAGTTAGCTAGGCACTGCCTAGCCAAATGTAATTCGACTTACGCAACCCATTGGAGCAACTTTGAATTGATACATACTGCTAATCATCTCGGCTTTTAACGTCTCAGTAATACTATAATCATACTGACCATTTAGCTCCTACTACAAGGTGCTAATTATTGACAGCTGGTCACTCACCAACACTCACCACCAGTCCTAAACTGCAGTCGTTCAATCGCAAAATATTGTTAACCTTACATCTTTGTACATCTCTTTTGCATTAATCACACATGCAGCTGCCCAACTTATCCAAATAAAATTATCGCAATATCAAACGGGTCTTGGTAACGTTCCTAGTAGGTTGGCATCAATGAGTTCCCACAGTGAAAAGTGCTATAGAGCATTGTAGAAGAATGCGAATTAAAAAAAAAAGTGTGTACTGCGGTGTTGAAAAAGTGTCTCTGAACATCAAGTATGGATTACGACAGCAAGTAACCCAGTTATATGTCCATTAATCATATTTCAGTGTTAAGAAAATGGCTTCTTATAATTTTTTCTTGACTGGATATGTAGACATCCACACGGTTTACTGTATACCAAAGATGGTGCAGTAGTCGTACAAATAATCTAGTGCTACCAACGTTTCAAATTTAGCATCTGTATTTTTGTTGGGAAGATTACACGTTTTTCTATGCATTCCGATTAATCACATTAAAAAATACTTCCGTGTAGCAGTCCCTGAGATGATTATAGTCGTTCAGTCGGTGTAAAAATCCCTTGTCATTTTGTAACACTGTAAGGTAAGCCGCGCCATAGCTCAAGCGGTTAGTCGCTGGCTTCTCAGCGCGGCGGCCCGGGTTCGATTCCGGGTCTGGTCAAGTGGAATTTGTGGTGGACGAAGTGGCGCTGGGGCGGTTTTCCCTGCCAATCTTCATTCCACCAAATTCTCCATCATAATCACCAGGGCAGGCTACAATAGGCCAATCAGTGGCCGCTGTGCCAAGGGGACCCAGTTGGACTCCCCCCCCCCCACAAAGCGAATTAAAAAAAAAAAAAAAGACATTGTAAGGTTCATCACCGTGAAAATGCTCTCTTCTGGGATGGAATGCCCTGTAGTCCAGTATAAGTTCCGGCCTTCTTGGAGGAATACATTGCCTCCATCTTCAAGGTGAAATAGTAAGCAGCAAGCACAGCTTACTTTTTGCTGACTGCTTCACATACACTTTCATCCTGAAGACTGAGGAAATACATTTCTCAAAAACTTCTACAGGACTACATAATATCGGATCCCACAAGAAGCCACAGTCACAGCCAGTCAGCTGTCAGAACTTCACATCCAGTGTACATTACCTTGTTCACATCACATAGCCCACCACAGAACCTTATTCTGAGTTATTTAATCCAGTGCACACAATTACAGTTCCTGTCTTCAGAAATTATCTTGCATAAATAGGATGTGAACTCAACTGCTTCAAATTGGGGCTGACTGCTGTCACTGTGAACACAGTAATGACTCCTCAAATTCCATTAAGAGATTGGGAATTCCTTAAGTAGTTGGTTGACTGTTGGCTTCTGAAGGGCTCTGCTGCATGGAATTGGCCAGAAATAAGATTAATGCACAGGCAAGAGGATAATATCAAAATGAATCTTAGAGTCATAAAGACTGAACTTACTTGTGACAGGATCATCACTGATGTCCGGCATCCTATCACATGTAAGTTCAGTCTTTATCACCCTAAGATCCAGTTGATATTATCCTCATGCCTGTGCTTTAATCTTATTTCTGGCCAGTCCCTCCATCATCGTCATCATCATTCTGGATACATTACAGCAAACAATTTCTTGAAAGCTACCCAAGGATGAAATGGAAGGTGCATACATGTCTGGCATATTCCAAGTCAGGGAAAGGAGCAAGAAACGTCTTTATTCAAGATACATAAACATTTCAAAATGGTGTATATGGCAAACCATTGTCTAAAATGTGGTAAAATATTATATTCTGGGATTCTACTACTGCAATACTTCTTTTGACTTGTTTTGGACTTCATCCATCGTCTGGTATGTAAAAGACAAAAGACCACGACGTTTTGGAGACTGGATCTGTCTCCATCTTCAGGTGGGTGGGGAAGGATAAACCTACTCAGTTGGGCCCGTTAGAAAGAGCTAGTCTCAATCACTGAAGTCCAAAACAAGCCAAAAGAAGTACAGTATACACCATCGTCAGAATCCTTTCAAGTCTACTACTGCAATGTTTGTGATTATGCCTTGCCCTTAGTATCACAGATCAAGAGCTCAATTTAAATCCTGGCCTCAACACCTGTTAAACTCTGGGCCTGCCAAGTGGGACAATCTGCATTTGGTGCAGTTTCCTGCGGAACTTCTTGTAGAATGCCAGGACGTCAGGGTTCGCCCAGACTTGTTTTGGGTCAAAGTCCAAGATCCTTAGTGTGTCAAGGCTCTTTGCTCTGGACAGGGCCACATAGGCTTGACCAGCCTCAAACACACGAGCCAGAGACATCTCAACACAGTCCAGGGTCAGTCCCTACAATGGAAGATGAAAATCAGTTCCCACAATCAATAATATGATGAAATGATACCCATAACATCTTCACTGTCTGGTGATACTCTCACATCAGTTGCTTACAGCATTATACAGTTATATTAATGGAAGCAATGAGTACTAACTACTTTAAATACTACTACTACTACTACTACTACTACTAACAACTACTTTAAATATGGGACAACTTTTGAAGAAGGCAAACTAGTAATACAAGAGATGGCAAAATATACTGCTGTACTTTCCTCTTATGGACACAATTTTTTTAATTCTTCATGATTTACCCATCCAGAAGCAAAGATACATGTCACGCCCACAAGAGTTCATGAAACTAATATGAATTTGAGCTGCATCAGCCAGTCAGACTGGCATATTTACTGATAACTTAAATGAACATTTGTATCTTTTTGTTCTCACCATGGGTAAATTATTTTAAGCATTACAGTAAGGTGGGACATATTCTTCGAATGAATACAGAAGAACAGAAATGAACATATCTACTATCCATTACACAAACGAAACTACTGGTCCATAATATGTATGCCGTGTCCGTCTTGTAGTGCACTCAATTTCACCTGTTATTTCACAACATGTTTCAGCAACATAGTGCCATCATCAGGTGCTCCATTTACGTTAATCTATTGCATTGCTTGCCATTATGTCATTGTAAAATTATTTAAAAAATATGTTGCCAAAACATGTTGTGAAATAACAGGTGAAATTGAGTGCACTACAAGACGGACACGGCATACATATCATGGACAAAAATCAGTGCAACAGGACGCTAAAATACGTTATGAAACTACTGGTATGGATCTGCTATGGATAAAAAAATAATTCCATGCTCAACTATCAGCTGAGGGTAGAATTAGAGAAATTTAACACTGTAGGAGTGGTAACACACTGGCTGGTCAGACTATCACACATTCCAGGGTGTGATGACAAATAAACATGGAACAATGCTGAAATGATGACCGGCAGGGGAAACCCAAAGAAACTTGAAGAAAAACCTGACCCCATTCCATTCTTTCTACAACAAATCCAGTGTGCAATCATTAAGGACTGAACCTGAAGCTCTGCAGTGAGAATCCAGAATCTAATCATCTGAACTATAATACAGTTATGATATGGATGTCTCTGGAAAACTTTGTGGAAACTTTGCTTCACGTAACTGCTAGAACTTCATAACATGACACAGATACTGACTTCATGTTGAAGATACCTTTCTGTTACAGTTAGCGAACAACTGATGACTATACGCAATATAGCAATTTCTTCTAACAATATTTTCTTGTTTTCCTGAGCTGTAACAGGGCGTATCAGGTCTACAGTACATGCTCCATCTCACAAATCACACATCTGATACACCTTTCAGTACCACTGTGAAAACTTTAGCTCTAATAAATGAAATACCTGAGATTTATGAATGGAGAAAGCCCAGGCAAGCCGCAGTGGGATCTGTTTGCGTGACAGCAGTGCCCCACTGCGTGTCTTAATGATCCACCGTTCAGGCTTCAGTGCCATCTCCTTCTTTGAGCAGAACTGCACTACAGGCAAACCTAAAAGTCAGAAACAAACTGGTTTGAAGTAATAATATTGCAACATGGTTCATGTTATCCGAAACTGCAACCTGATTCCCTCATTCTGAAGGCTCATCTTTTCTCTTTAGTAGGTTATTTAATGATGCTCTCAATATCTAGACTCTACAGTGTTGAATGGTAAGATGACTGATGAATTGGAATGGTTTTGGAAGGAGAGGTAATGCCCTAATCAAGGTATTTACCTGGAGGACTAGGGATAAAACTCCACACAAGCCTGTTCAGTACCAAAGCTTGTTATGGACACAAACCGAAGAGTAATCCATATCCTCATGACTGATATTCCTATGATCCCTTTTCATATTATCCTCTTGCCTGTGTCTTAGCCTTCCAAGTTTCTCTATCTCCATTCAAGCCATCATCAGTAAGTACACTAATATAAGACAAAGGTCATGCCATAGCTAAAGGTGAGTCGCTAGCTTCCCACCGCGGCAGCCCGGGTTCGATCCCGTGTTTGGTCAAGTGGGATTTGTGGTGGACAAAGTGGCATTGGGGCAGGTTTTCTCCGAGTACTTCAGTTTCCCCTGCCAATCTTCATTCCACCAATTGCTCCACAATCACCCTCACCTATCATCTGGGGCTGATAAATAGGCCAGAAGTGGCCGCAGTACAAGGGACTTAGTCCCACCCCACTAGCAATAAAAAAAAATATATAAGACAAACAAAAAACTCCGCAGCTTTAGTCCTCAACTGAACTATAGTGCCAACTTCAGCGGATAGCACTAATATGTATAAGACAGGCTGCTTAAATCACAGAACTGTCTGTAAATGGGACCTATGCAAAACTGTGATGCTGTAGCAAAAGCACTGCTTCGTAGGGTCTGGGTGCTCAACAAGAAGAAAAGATTTGCACCTTGTTACGTTTGTATTAAATTATAAAAACTGAAGACCTAGGAACAAAGGAAACAGCTTGTCAGATATCAGGAAGAAAAGACCGTGGGAAGACAGAAAAGGGAGTGAACTTCTGATCTATTGGACTGCATGAAGCACATGTAATGCTAGAAGAAAAAGATTACCTTTGCACTGAACTAATACAGGATCTAACAGTACACATTTATGTCAATGCAGTAAATTTAAATTGGTGCCACAAATCAACTTTCTTAACATTTCTAAACAAACGATCAAAAAAGTTACCAGAGCAAGATCTTATCATCCGTCAGCATAAGATATTGTGACAAAATTCTGGAGGCATAGAGACATTCTGTGTACCTGACAACTCACAATCGACAGACTATTTTGAATGCCTTAGAAGTGATCAGGTCCCATTCAGATCAACTTGTAATATCGTTTTATATTTTTCATACAATGTTATTCATTTCCCTCTGTACCTATATTAACTATAAGTATCACAGTTCTACAGTCCAAGTTGCTTAGCAGCTATTAGTGCAACAAGTAATCCCTATGTGATGCTACAACAGTAACTGAACATTCAACTGGAATCAGAACTCACAATTATCAAAATCAATAAGCAATTTCACTACTTCCATGATATTTGCAGACACTTTAGGTATCTTGTCCTCTTGCTCAGTGCCAATACATACCTATACAACTGTCGTAATAAATAACCAATTTCATTATATTCACCTACTGCTTATTTTCAGAAAAGCCAGGACAAAGAATGAGTGTTGTTTCAGTTGCTCTGTGAGCTTGACTCTAACCAGTGATCACAGCAACCACATGCACTTGAAGCCTGCAGGAGCACCCACAACCATTTAAGCCAATGAGCCAATAAGCATGTTAATGCTGTTCAGCACACAGCTTACCTTTGTCATCAAAACTGGTGATGATTCCCCGAGCGCCATTCACCATGCCATCTGCCACATTTATGTTTTTCATAAGCATCACCTGAGCTCCGACCTTGAGTACCAAGGAACTGGGCACAGGAGTCATCTGATCAAGCATCTTGGTCAAGTAGGGATCACTGTCTGTTGCCTCAAATGTCCTAGTGGCACCTGGGGGCAGTTCATATCTCTGTGACAGGATGGAAACATCAGCAACCATACTAGTACTGAACTGATATCATCTCAATCAGCAACGTGAAACTGTACGTCACAAATCAACACCAGATTCAAGAGAAGTGCAACATTAAAAAAAAAGACTAGAAAAGATAAACTTAGGCACCAAGCAATAACAAATCTTGTAGGATTTGAAGTTCTCACAGTTGTGGCTATGAAAAGTTCTGTGTTGTGGGATATAACACCATGTAGTCTGTTGAAAATCACCATGTTAGGTGGGTCCGTCACCACAGCATGGCACATCCTTAGGTTGCAGATGGAGGAGATGCCATCCAGGTATGAAGGGTAGCTGCAAATATACTGAATAAGCAGTCACTGACAGTCAACAAGGGGTGGTCCTCCAGCTTGGGGGCTGGGCATAGGGCTGACAACTCCTCACCGTAAAAAATGAGCTTGTTACGAAAAATCACAAGAAACTTCGAACCTGGATGGACTCTCTGGATAAACAACCTAAGCGAAAGAAAATGGATATGAGATTTGGTACTTTGAATGTTAGAAGTATGGATAGAGCAGGCTCATTTAGGTCAGTGGCAGAAGAAATATCAAAATATAAGTTGGATTTAGCGCAAGTACAGGAGGTCCGATGGGACGGAGGTGGCAATGAACCAGCAGGTGAATATACATTTTTCTATGGAAAGGGAATGAGAATCATGAATTAGGTACAGGTTTTATCATACATGAGCGAACTGTATCAGCAATTCAGAAGGTAGAGTTCATTAGTTGCCCTGAAAAGAATCCTCATTGAAAAACTAACAGTTCCTCTTCAGCTAGTTAGGAAACTCCCTCCTTTTATGGAACACAACAGTTTACTACTGTTTGTACGAGCCTGCAAACCGATAAACGAGACAACAGAAAATGAAAGAAGCTGTAAGAAAGTATGACAGGTACTAAACAAGGAAAAAGATATAAGCAGATATTCAGGCTAATCTGGGAAGCAGGTATTTAAAACTTAGAGAGAAAAAGACAAGCAGATTGGCATGAAGCATCATTATGTAGAAGGCTGACCAAGGTATGACGTTTAATCATGGATGCTTCTGCTGAACTGAGGGCAGACAGTGCTCCTGTACCTTGCAAGGAAGAAAAGAAGAGTGTTGATACCTGCAAGATTATTCAGCCTGCTGCTGTTGATTAGGTTAGCATCCTGCATGTGGCTGCACAGCTGAGTCGCTAAAATACCCCCCCTCTCCACCTTGTGGTCCATTGTGGCCAGGAGCTGGGCTGTTATCTCAGGTGTAACTCTTTAAATAAAAAAGAAAAAAACTTTTGTAAAACTCCAAGAAATTGGGAAATTTTTTTAAGATGTTGACAATTTTTGTGCCTTAACCTTTCCCCATCCTCTATACTTCTATACTACAAACTAAAGTACAAGTAAAGTAAAGCTATCCCTGTACCAGGCCGTGAAGGCCCATAGGGTTGTGAGACGAGGGTCCCACATTATCTAGACAATCGGCTCAAAGATGGCGGTAAGGTTGTCAGCCTTACGCTCCTGCCACGCTTTACTCCCCAGGAAAATTATTTAATTAATTCCTGGTACTCATTTTTGTTAGAGGCTGAGTGAACCCCAGGGCCATAGTGCGGCTGGAAGGATTAGGTCAATTGAAAAAATCCAGTGACCTCATCGGTATTTGAACCCACAACCTTCCAACTTGTAGCATAGTGCCTTAACCACTACGCTACCACATGCCCCAGCTACGAACTAATTTGCAAAAAAACTTTCTTTTGGGAAAATGTAAAACTCCTGCCATTTGTTGTTCATACACACAGAATACTAGAAGAGATATTGAAGAATGTAAATAGCAAAGACATAACACTTAGGATGTGATCATACAGTAAATTTCTAAATGGTCACAGTCAGTAAGGGTTAATTACATATTAATTTTAACACAGGCCAATCAATTCACCTACTTACAGCAGTACTGACACGCATTTCATACATTCAAGGAAACAGACCTTCAGTCTTTCCAAGCACAGTAGAAAATTTATTTTGTACAAAATATCACCAAACAACCTGAAGGGAGCATTACTGTGCTGTGTGTACCTCGACTGTGTTCGACTGTCCCATGAATCACATAAAAATACCAAAGAAATGGACTGAGCCCCAACTGAATGTAATGGCCCGTTGGTTGGTTGTGACTGGGACAGAAACAGACTTGGGCCCAATTTTATGACTTACCCTTAAAACTAGTTCACAGCAGGATCTGCAGTATCACACCTGTGTGTTCCATGGAAGCGTGACATGTCTTGATGAACTGTGTAACTACTGACTGCGTGGTTGCGACCTCACGTCACAGTACCCACAGAACCAGAAGTTACTAGAACTACGCTGAGAAACAAAGCTCACTTTCTGAATTTCTTCTGTCTAGCAGAAACAAAACATGCTCACCTGCCAATACGCACATTCTGCAAGATCTCAATGAACACAGGGTCTGACTGTCGATGGACCTGATTCAACTCAAAGCTGACATGCACACATCGGTCCCATGCAGGGCTCTGGAAACAGAAGCGAGCTCCCTTCTGATCCATCTCCCGTGTCACAGGAGGCAGCTGCAAGAAATCTCCACACAGGATCAACTGCAGCCCTCCAAATGGGCGGTCGTTCCCTCTCACCACACGTGCAACTCGCTCCAGCTTCTGTAATGGCATATCTCAAAGCATGTGTCTGAACAGACTAGGGAAAGTCATAAAATTCAGGAAAGTCTGAAGCTTTACTCTTATACATTGGGCTAGACACACACCTCACATGCCACAGAAAACAATGAATTTAAACAGATTATCAGTACAAAAAGTGGTACAAGATTTTGATTAAATTTGGTAGTAGGCAGGCATCCACACTAAAATCTGATAGACAAATTCCATTTCGGACCATGTGAGTACTTATCCTGTACTTTACATGAATGTGAAATCAAATATTTTCAATTTTATAGAAAAAAGATCATACAAAAAAAATCTATACATGACACAGGCGTCATTAAAATCTACCCGTTACTTTTCCTTTAAAAAATGTATAGTTAACAAGCAGAAGCACCTAATGTTCGATCTGAAGCCTTCATGGGAGGTGATATTAATAAAATCTTCTCAATCTATCAGCCCTGGATGATGGGGACAGAGATGGCCCTTAAATGCTAGTAATTTTTAACCAACTGTTATGGCTGATAGCCCATGAAGATTTTATTAATATAAGCACTTGATCTTCACTCAGGCTATGGTTGCTTTCCTTGTATTTATTTGGTTTTAACACATATGAATACAGTGTAAAGATAAAAGCATTTGTTTCTTCTCAATTAACTCACTGAATACAGAAGTCTATTTCCCAAAAATAACATCCGACAGATGACCACCCTTCCGCTGCAGACACTCGGTAAGTCTCTTCCTAAAGTCACTCATGACGCTTTGCAGCATCTCTACAGGAATTCGTTCAACTTCTTCCTGAATTCAATGTTCAACTCCTGAACTGTGTGGGGTGCTGGAGCTTTGAAAACTTGGGATTTCAGATACCCCCAGAGAAAGAAATCACATGTGGAAAGATCAGGTGACCTGGCTGGCCATATGATGTCCCCATATCTGGGGTTTACATGGTTACTGCCATGGAAGCCCATGTGGTGTGGCACGTAGCCCCATCTTGTTGGAAAAACGTTTCTTCCTTGACTGGAAGACAAACAAGTGCAGGAGCTAAGAAGCTCTCCAACATGTGAATGTAACGTAGTCCAGTCACAGTTACAGCCCTTTCCCACTCATCTTCAAAGAAGTACGGGCCGATAATTCCAAACGAAGATATTGCGCACCATACTGTGACTTTGGAACTGTGAAGTGGTCTCTCATAAATTTCTCTGAGGTTTGTGGTTGACTAATAGTGGAAATTTTGCTTGTTAACAAACCCCAACAAATGGAAATGAGCTTCATCGCTCATCAGTAAGTTGTTAACGGCATCTTGGTTTTGATTAATTAACTGAAAAAACGTCTGGCAGAAATCAACTATGTTTTCATAGTTATGCTTGTGTAGTGCATGAGTAATTTGAATTTTATATAGGCAGAAGTGGAGATCTTTATGCAAAATCCATCAGACGCTGGCCTCAATCTGAGTGATATAGTGTGGCGATGCGCAGACTGGCGTGGACTTCATTCAATGGCTTCTCTCACTGCTGCTACATTCTCGGGTGTACATGCTGTTTTTACGCTACCACCTTTCTTCTTTAGCGTAGAACCAGCAGCCTCAAAGTTTTGAACCCAGGTCTTGACGGCATGGTCAGATGGAACAGCACAATTGTGATGAATACCAAACTCTCTTCGAAATTCACGCTGAGCGATCATGAAACTGTCACCATTTTTGTAAAATGCTTTCACAGCAAAAGCACTTTGTGCTCCAGTCCACGGCTCCATTGCAACTGAAACGCTTTGAAGTAGGTTGCTGGATGGCAGTAGTGGCATCCTCCCCACTCTAATCAATCCAGGAAAAAATACCACTGCCAAATTGCCCGATTCATTGACGCACCCTGCATATAGTAGCTATACTTCGAAGCAAAAAATAACACTCAAATTGAGAAATTACAGTTTACTCGTGTAATTAAAAAAATTAATGTGTGTGTGTTGCGAATGAAGATTTGACTTGCATCCAAACACTCTACCACAATACCTGCACATCACTTAAACAGCTGTGGCTACTGTACATGTTGGCAGGAGTACAGAGTCAATTCATAATATCTTTGGGTGTTCTGTGTTAGGTTCATGGTAGGAAAGAGGAGACAAGTAGGAAGTTAAGAAGACACCTGCAAAGAACAATAAATACATCTCAATACAACGTCATAGCTGAGCTGTTTAGTGGCTATGTAATATTTGGATCTGTAATGACAACATAGTGTAATAAGCAGGGCCCAGATTTTTATGACCTGAAAATATTTAGAAAATGACCTATACGATGACCAAAAAAATCCAGAAAAATGACCTAAAATATGACCCAAAAATGTAATATGCAGGGCCTGGATTTTGATGACCTGAAAATATTAAAAAAATGGCCCATAAAATGACGGAAAAAATCCAGAAAAATGACATAAAGGAGAAAAGAAAGAACACTTCGCTTCCAAGTTATTCACATTTCAGAAAACATATGAAGAAAAATTCCCTAAAATGGCCAAAAATGACAAGAAATACCCTTAAAAGTCCAAAAAAAATACCTATAAAATTTACATTTCTGTAACCAGCAGCTCATATCCAAGATTTATATATTTAAGAGCATCGCATAGGATACAAGGAAAAAAAGATGACATGTCATCAAAATCTGGGCCCTGGTAATAAGGTACACGACACTGCAGACAATATATCCAGATGTACATGTTCTGCACTTGCCTGACTATCTAACGAATAAAGAACAAAACACCATATATCTCACCTCAAAGAACAAGCCATCTACCATCGATATCTCATCAATTATCAGATGGCGACATTTGCGCCATGCCTGCTGCACCTGGGGCCTGCTTGCCTGCTCAATGCACCGTTCTACAGATGCCTGACCACTGCCAATACCTGCAACATATCACAGTGCAGTTCTCCTACAGCTGGCACAGAACCACAAGTCTGCCAAGTGGTCATAACTTAAATCATCCAATAATTGTTACAAAAAGCTTTGAATGCGTGGGTACTGACAGCTTACAAGAATATAGTGCTTCATATCTTCAGGGTGGAAGTTCTTATAGTACAAGTGATATTAAGAAATACAAATGGCAATCCTCAAGAACTCCCAAATGCACCATGCAAATGAGAGGTGCTGTTAACATATTTCAATCTGAAAATATGGTCAGATATTAAAATCTGTTTCTGAACAAGCACAGGCCAAAAGTTCACCAGCACTGAACACAATCCTGATGAGTCACTTCTATCCACCTGACATCGCCTTCTTGAGTCAACAAGTGATCACCATCCTAGAGGTTTCTCCACCAAAATTCTTTACACATTCCTTCTGTTCCCCATTCAAGCCACGTGGCTGGCCCATTGCCATGTTCTACACATCAGCACCCTAACAACAGAATGTGGCCTGCATAAACTACAACAATCAGATCAGAAACTGCTCTCAAAGCACATCACCTTAGGGCCATGAGCTGCCCTGAGCTCTCCCTTTTCACACATCTGAAATTTACATCCTGCCTTCACCTGTCTTACATATTTGCTTCTGAAAGCAAATAAGTCAAAAGCACTACAGCCAACCTACCAGCAAATGAATGCAACGTTACTCCTCCAATGTGGCAGGCTGCAACACCTGTGCTTGCTGTGGCCACGGTAACATCTGGCGGTAGAGCCCCAATGATCCGACGCAGCAAGTATGACTTGCCTGTCCCAGCACTGCCTACAAGCAAATGCAATTACATATGGCATGACCACGGGCAATTTCATTCTCTCACAACTTGTGTTTTGTCATAATATTCCCATGATGCATCAGTCTTCCATATGAAAACCTTCCCAGAGGAACTGCTTTATTTGATTAGAAAAACAAACAATACTATAGAATCTGTGTTATATCTATTCATTAATGATTTAGCTAAAATTCAGTGAAAAGCCGGAAGGTTGCAGGTTCAAATCCCGATGAGGTCATTGGATTTTTTCAGTTGACCTAATCCTTCCAGCTGCACTAGGCCCTGGGGTTTACTCAGCCTCTAACAGAAATGAGTACCAGGAATTAAATAATAATTTTCCTGGGGAGTAAAGCGCAGCCGGCGCGAAAGGCTGACAGGCTGACAACCTTACCACCATCTTTGAGCCGATTATCTAGATAATGTGGGACCCTCAACATCTCACAACCCTATGGGCCTTCATCCTGAACTTCAAGACAGTACATGCTTCTGACACAATGGTAACCACCTACTTGACTACACAGTGTCNAATAGCTTTACTTTTTTTTTTTTACTGATGTGCTCTGGCAGGTGCTTAGTAACTGCTATCCTGAACATCAAGACAGTACATGCTTCTGACACAATGGTAACCACCTACTTGACTACACAGTGTCATAACCCACAAGATCACATGTGTTTCTTCTGACAAGCATGTGCTACAGTGAGCATGACCATTATACTGGACCTGACCATCCTCTCAAGTCTTATCAAACATGCCATTTCAGAAACCAGATCTGTTTCCATCATCAGGTGTAAGGGAGAAAAGCTCCTACTCGGCAAAGGCTAGTCTGGATGACTGGACCCATTTGGTCCAAAATAACTATCACAATATGAACCCTCACTGCCACAAAAATCTAAAATCTCACATACGTTCAACTTAAGTATTGCAATGCACTCAAATTATTCAGAAAAGGATTACATTTAACATCTTCCTTGCACACAATAAGACTCCATTGTATGTAACTATGAAATAATGAGTCTTCCACAAACAAAAACATGAAAGCTCAGAATCATATGGAAGCAGTTTAGATCTTGACGTATTCCACTTGCGGACTGTCCTGTTACCACTTTCAACCCAATGGGCTCATGTTGTTCAATAGTGGGCCTGGTTTTACCAGCTGTGACCAAACACAACTTATCAACAGACCTGAGGACTGTCTGTACCCAAATTATTTCAGGGGCAACATCCCAGATATCAGGCACTACTATAGACGATCAGGAATTTACCTGTAAAAAATACATTCTTTCCACTCAGCGCTGCATTCAGCACCTCCTTCTGCTCCTGTGTTAGCGAACTGGGGCCAAGAGATAATGACATGTGAGACTTCTTTCCCTGCAACAGATTTCACATGTTTCTCATTGTTCTGGTCCAGCTATCCACCATCTTTCACAGGGGCATTACGACGTACCTGCCTGGGGGCCTCCTGTCCCTGCAGAGTCCTTTTCTTGGTGCCTGGCGGTGTCATGGAGCAGCAACCCGCCTTCTGCTTCACTTGGTTTACTTCCTGAAGGGTCACTGGGCTGATCTCCTGCAGAGTACTTGGTTTACTGGACAATAGTTGTGTTCGGGTTCCAACTTTAGACTCTCCGCGGTCCCCAGACAGTTTGATGAACATGGTTCTTAAGAAAGCCAACAGCTGAGTTGGAGGGGCATTAAAAATGAGAAGCATCATTTTCTGCTCAGAGAAACTAATGGAAGCCTTACCCTCTGCCATGAACTTCTTGTGTACACTGATCCCTTTCAGGTGATATCTGCAATTTGTCTTGTCACTACGCAGATCCATGAAAATTTCGCGAAATTCATTTCGTATTAAACGTAGTGTAACGGTTTTAAAATTAGTTCTACGGGATACCGAATTCTGAGAATTCAGCCATTCCACTGTCACACAGCAGACTAGCGCTGAAGAGTCGGGGCTTCGTTGCTCCATCTTATTCAGTAATTACACCGAATTTGTACTAGCCTCATCACTTCTAAAACAATCAACCGTGTACCAACCAAACCTACTTCGTACTTGAGATTTAAACGCTTGTGATTTAATTCGAGATATCGAGCAATGATTAAATCCATGCTAATCGAGGTACGTTGAAACAAGGATTTTAGAGGGAAATACATGTGCAGTAACATGAACAAACTTTCCCTGAATAAGATGATTTGCAGCAGGATGACAATATAAATACACTGCACTTGATATGGTATATTTAATTTTGTGTATGTGTAATGCTAAAGAACAATACGGTAAGCGTGCCGAAACAGACGTTTGTGATTATTAAGCGTAATAGGTCTCGTCTTTCCATTATAATATCTTTGAAGGTGGCTCGTTCGATTTCTGTGAAATCATTGATTTCACTGAACCGCGCCAAAAATATTTACATCCCAGAGCGCATACATTTGAACCCTGAAAGATGGCGGTGTAAGCAAACGGGCGCTACTGCCCCTTTTGTCTGATTAATGAACTACTGATAAGGTATTGATTTATCTTCGTACTTTGTTTGCACTGTTGTTTCTTGCAGCAACACTGCGGAGAGGGCAAACTGATTATTTCCTTAATGTTGGTTTCAAAATCGACTCAACTTCACACAAGGAACAAATGAAACTAGAACTTAAAAACGGGACTAAGAAAATGTATTTAATCTAAATCTGTGCCATGGTATCTCTTCTACGCCAGATCTGTTGTACAGTTATGACTCGATCTGCAGAGTCTCGTTTGTGAAAATGGGGCGATCTGCATGAAGGTGATATCAAGAGGGAATTTGAAAGACGTATCATAACCTATTCCATACTTCTCGAAACAGGAGGATAATATTAAAGCCGTAATTATGATAATGATATGAACTTTGTTTGGATCGAGTTCAGTGATGTCGGCAGAATTATCAGAACTAGAAATATGGAAACTTATTTTTGGGTGCAAGCCGGAATTTGTTTCAGCTTCTTTCCAGATTCTAAATCTACAGGCTTCTATAAACTCACACGAAAACTGAATCATGTATTGAACAGGCGTTGACCAAGTGATACTATTGTCCGCTTAAAACGTATTCGAGGGTACCGTCACACCTTGAGCTGACAACCTTACGGAAAAAAAAAAGAAGAACTTTGCGTTCAACTGGGTGTCGCGCACGGCACTCCTAGGGTCGTTGTTTATAGGTCTCACAGTATAATACCAACGCTCACGAACTCGACAACAAACTAAGTCCATGAAGCCAAGACCGTCTTCATAAACTAACAGTTGCTCAGCTGCTCAAGAACTCCCCAGCATTTCATGGAACTCGAAGGTTCATTGCCATGTGAACAACAGCTCGCTATTGGACACTGAACCTGAGGATCCTGTCCGTATCATCTTATTCAATTTCTGTAAGATTCATTTTAATACTATCCTCCCACCTACGTGTAGGCTCTCTGTTTCCTTCTGGCTATCCAGCAACGTTGTAATTCTGCTCCGAAATGACTCAGCTAGTAGCCTGAGAAGATGTTACTGAAAGCGAATGATGTCCTCCTTTAGGGACGCACGCGAAGAATGCAGGAAGAATTATCGTGCCCCTTGATTGTTGATGAAAATTCGTCAGTTTTGAGGTAAGCACGGGCGCCTCCCAGGGACGGACAAATCGTGTTTATGCATCCTGAATATGTCCTATATCAAACAAAGAACGGAGTCTCAGTCTTGGCCCTTAATGTTTCCCTACTTTTCCTCAGTTCCTCTGAATGATGCTGGCATAGTAACCCGTCAATCTTCCAGTTCTCATTTCACATCGAAAATCTGCGGCTGGCAAAAGTCGCTAAATAAATGTCAGTTCATCCTTAGACCTCTGCAAGCACCGGTACGCTTGAGGCGTGATGTGCCTGGGCTGTGGTTTCGGTGTGTTCTGTACAGCCCTGTGCCAGAACAGCGTAGGCATGGCGTGGCAGACTCACAGAAGGCGGAACAGCGCCACCTCACCCCGCCCACACCTCTGTAACATCAATCTTATCTTGTCTTTTTACTTCCTTGGTCTTGGGAATACCCGTCTTCAGAGAGACTTCAATCCGTAAATTTACCTACATTTGTAGTCTCCTTCATCCGAGCTACGTGCTGTGTGCAACGTGGCCTTCTTGACTTCGCTCTTCCACACACATGGTTACTAGGTGTTCTGTTTAAATAACAAAGTTGGCCATTATGCAACAACCTGAATTGGTCACTGCCTTCAGCTGCTTATAACATTTTTTCGCTTCTTCTTCTCTTATAAAATCATCTGCTGAAAAATATTAATTGAAAACAACTGAGAACGTGGAGTTATGTTCAGTTCCGTGGCGAATATTGGTGCCACGAAATTTGGCATCTTCCCTCGTTGGGAGCCGGGTGGGGGGAGGGGATAAGCCAGGCGACCACCTTCCCTGAATTAAAGAAACGAAATTTACCAGATAGCAACACAGAAGAACTGTAACTCCTTTTCTTTTTCCTTTTTCAATAGTCCTGCATCCTCAATACTCCATGGCAATAAGTAAACGGATTAATCTTGCGCTTGCAAGCAAATTTTCTGGCTGCAAAACGATCTGGCAATGCGCATACCTCGCTCTGTTTGGTTTACACCTACTTAAAAAATTACATCAACTGCAGAGGATATTGACATAGTACGAAACGGGAGGATTGTCATGGCAAGAACGGCCCTAATTCACGGAAGGCACTTCACTGGAAGTGAAATTGGTTCGCTGTTCATTAGTACCCACGATAATCTGAGTGACAGGCACTCGAGAGCCATCTGGCGGCTTAGTGCGACAGCAATTGTTCATTACGCGTGTAATCACTACACGGGCCGTCCATTACGTTGGCTTCAGTGGCGTGTAACCTCACCAAACAAAGCTACGCTGTAATCTCTTCAAGCACAGCAACTGCTGCACCTCCTGAAACATTCAGAACCTCTGTACCGGGGCTGGGCTAGAAACCGCCCCTTCGGAGACCCTGATTATGGAGTCTGAGTAGGTTCCTGAAACGTTGGCCCTTAACTCGACCGTGGCGCGGCTAATCGCCCGAGATTTTATCGCATTTACTGGTCACGAAAGCTTCACACCTTACATAGTGAAATACTCGTACTCCCACTTTGCCCACACAAGGTATTTATGTATTTCCTATTATTCTCAAAATAAACAGCGGTTATTCCCCTAGACAACATTAATCACGTGCTGTTTGTTATGGAGACACCGTTTGTTTTCTAGGAGGTAGGAACTAAATCTTTAAATATTCTTAAAATATTTTCATGCTTTAAGGAGTCAATTTCACGTCATATACGCAGACAAAGTCCCCTTGCAAGGGGAACGTGGAGGGAGAGAAAATATAAACTGGTTGCTCTCTTTGCGCTTTCCAATTAAAATTCTCTGTCATTCTCATCTCTCCCATGCGTGCTACATGCCCCACCAATTTCATTCTCCTTGATTTGATTCTGTCCATAAACAACGCCTCTGAGATTTCTCCGTCCTGCTACAGCTACCATCTCATTCCTCTTTTTCAGTGGCTCATGAACAGAAATCTATCGGACAGCAAAACGGGTTGTGGAAGAGTGCCCTGTGTTCAGACTGTTCAGGACAGGGTCCGATAGCAGTGATGAACTGTGTTCAGACTGTTCAGGACAGGTTCCGATGGCAGTGATGAACTGTGTTCAGACTGTTCAGGACAGGGTCCGATGGCAGTGATGAACTCTGTTCAGACTGTTCAGGGCAGGGTCCGATGGCAGTGATGAACTGTGTTCAGACTGTTCAGGACAGGTTCCGATGGCAGTGATGAACTGTGTTCAGACTGTTCAGGAAAGGAGCCGATAGCAGTGATGAACTGTGTTCAGACTGTTCAGGACAGGTTCCGATGGCAGTGATGAACTGTGTTCAGACTGTTCAGGAAAGGAGCCGATAGCAGTGATGAACTGTGTTCAGACTGTTCAGGACAGGTTCCGATGGCAGTGATGAACTGTGTTCAGACTGTTCAGGACAGGAGCCGATGGCAGTGATGAACTATGTTCAGACTGTTCAGGACAGGTTCCGATGGCAGTGATGAACTGTGTTCAGACTGTTCAGGACAGGGTCCTATGGCAGTGAACAACGTTGACATTCTCTTAACACTAGGGATATTTTGATCTGGAAGGCCAAAGAAAGTTCTGTAACACGAAGTTAGTTCGTCAGTGTGTTTTTAATTAGACAAAAACAGGCAATGAAAGGACTGGTAACACTTTAGACTTGTATTTCGGAGGTGTTCAGTTCGAACCTCAGTCGAGATACCGGCTATCCTAATTGAAGTATTTAATGGTCTTCCTCAGTCCCTTCGTGCAAATATCGGCATGGTATCTCCATTAGGCCACGACCACTTCCTTTGAAAATGTCATCAATCAACCTAACATTCTACGCCGTAGTGTCGTGACGCGAAGCATAGCCTAATCAGTGTTACGCTCACTCGAGGTATAAGCTGTCGCTGCTGGAGGCTTCGTCCGCTATCCACTGCTTCCTGTGAGACCGGAGTCTGCACCTGCTGGACTCTGACCACTGCTCACCGCGCTCACCACCACCCACCGATTTAAATTGCCGCTACATTTTGTATGATTCTCCAAGAACTACATGATTCAGTGCGGTAATTCATTGGGCCTGAGAGTGTTTAAACAAGAATGTCTGATTCATGTCTCAGGGTTCTGAAGGATTCCACGGCACCCCTTTCGTAGAGAACTGTTCGGAACTATTGTCCGCGGCTCCCACACTAAGCCCATTCTCTTCACGGCTGTAAAGATTATGGGGCCGCGAGTGGCTGTGTGATAGCCGCGTCCCTTTGTGGCAGTTCTGTTCTGACTTGCTCCCAAACCTTCAGAACACGTCGTTTCGAAAGCTCTGCGGATTGAACACACAATATACGTATTTGAACTGGTGAGGAGACATGTTTTCTGTGAGATGGTAACTGAGTCTTGATTGTTATTTAGTTGAAACTGATGCTTAATCACAGTGACCGCGTCCAAAATTGAGAGAGAAGTGGCGCTGCTCGGTAGCCCCAGGCGGTGCAGGTAGTCTGCCTGCCTGCCTGCCTCCACACTCCACTCTTGCCGATCAGTTGCGCGTTGGTGCTGAGCGAGTGAAGTGCAAGTTTCTATACGTAGTCACCACTGCTTCCTGCCACACTACAGCCATTTGTTTTCATGAGGTGAGTGTTTCACGACATAACACTGCTATGTGGATCTGTCTGTTTTATTGGTGCTAGTGCCATGGGTGTACACGAGCCCCCGACAGCCATATTGAATTGTATTATAGCTTACGACTTGGCAGGTAGCCATTTTGTGAGGCGTGCTGAGTGAGAGAGACAGAGCACTCGGCCATCTTAATTGAATGCAGCATCGTGTTGACACAAGAAGATGGGCCTAAAATCAGTGGTGTTTGCTGACGCCACAAAACACCCCGACATTCCTACAGACACGTACGCATGCTCGTCTTCCTTTTCCGGATAGTGTCTGTGGGCACCAATCACAAATCGAGCAGCCCGGGCCCTTCCAACGTGCCCCTCGTCGCTGCAACGCGAAATTTCGAAGCCAGAAGTTCACGGAATACTCATATAAAAATTCAGTTCATACCGCACAGAAAACACCGCGTATGGTTGTTACGGAGGTGACACCGAACCTGCAGGCGAATACACTTTTTTCTGTGGAAAGTGGGGTGAGATTCATGAATTAGGTACAGGTTCTTCCGTACGTAAGATAAACATATCAGAAGTTCAAAGGGTAGAGTTTGTTAGTGACAGGATGTCATACATAATGCAAAGAGGTCGCTGGTGTAATATTGTTCTGAATGTTCATGCCCCAATGGAAGATAACATGATATAAAGGACAGGTTAGGCGAAGAACTAGAACATGTATTCGATAATTTCCCTAAATACATATAACATGATAATTTTGTTAAGAGGTTTCAATGCCAAAAATAGGTAGAGAAGACATTTTCAAAGCAACAATTGGGGATGAGAGTTTATACGAAATAGTAATGATAATGGAGTTAGAGTAGTAAATTTTGCCACAATAAAAAAGCTTATTGTCTAAGAAGTACGGTGTTCCCACATCTTAACATCCATAAATTTACTTGGACATCTCCTGGTGGAAAAACGCACAACAAAATTGACCATATTTTGATAGAAAGGAGACGGCAGTCAAGTACACTTGATGTCCCATCATTCAGGGCAGCAGAGTGTGATACTGACCACTACCTGGTGGTGGAAAATTTAGGGACAGACTGGCAGTGAGTAAACAAACAACGCACAGAGATCTTATGGAGAGGTTCAATCTAAAAAAATTAAACGAGGTAAACGGTAAAGAGCAATATCGTGTTGAAATCTCAAATAGGTTCGCAGATTTCTAAGACACTCACTCACGCAGCTGAGCCCTCCTTGAGAAGCCACTAATTGTGCAGAAACCCAAGAACTTCACAGCATCCTGAGCCAGATCAAGCCAATCGATACCATCCCATGCTATCTCTCTAAAATGCGGCCGCGCCATAGCTCAAGCGGTTAGTCGCTGGATTTCCACCGCGGCGGCCCGGGTTCGATCCCGGGTCTGGTCAAGTGGGATTTATGGTGGACAAAGTGGCGCTGGGGCAGGTTTTCTCAGAGTACTTCGGTTTCCCCTGCCAATCTTCATTCCACCAATTGCTCCACAATCACCCTCACCTATCATCTGTGGCTGTTACAATAGGCCAGAAGTGGCTGCAATACAAGGGACTTAGTCCCATCGCACTAGCAATAAAAAAATCTCTCTAAGATACATTTTAATATTGTCCACCCACTTACGTCTTGATCTTCCAAGTGGTCTCTATCCTTCTTGTTTTCCCACCAATACCCTATATGCATTCCTCTTCTCCACTTTCGTGCTACATGCCCTCGCCATCTGATCTTCCTTGACTTGATCATTCTAATTATACTTGGAGAAGAGTACAGGTTATGAAGATCCTCATTATGCAGTTTTCTCCAACCTCCTATCACTTCATTCCTCTTCAGTCCAAATATTCTCTTCAATACCCTGTTCTCAAACACCTTCAGTCTGTGTTCCTCCCTTAATATCAGAGACAAAGTTTCACACCCATACAGAACCACAGGCAAAATTATAGTTTTGTATATTTTAATTTTTATATTTTTAGACAGCAGACAAGTAGACAACAGTTTCTGGACTGAATGGTAGCAACCACTATCCGAATTCAATCTTCTCTTAATTTCATCCTGAATCAGGTTTTGATTTGTTGTCAGCCCCAAATATCTGAAGTGTACCGCATTTTCAAACCATCTGGTACTATCTTTATTTCAAGATTTTGCCTTGCATTTAGGTGATGAGACACCGAGATGGATATTAAAATAGCTTGGGAAACTACTAGAGAGAATATCAAAATTTCTGTCAAGAGAGTTTAGGTTATTATAAACTGAGGAAGGAAACAGGCAAAATTGCAGTGGTTACAGGATTCAAGCAAAATAAATGGAGATAATCTAACAATATAAGACGCGAAACCAGCAGGCATTTCGGGAACATCTGAAAGACAAAATTGATGAACTTGCAATGAACAGTAAGAACAAGAACATTAGAGACCTGTATAGAGGAATAAATGACTTTAAGAGGGGTTACCAACCTAGCAGTAACTTAGTGAAGGATGAGAATGGTGATCTGCTTTCAGATTCCCACATTTTGAGTAGATGGACGAACTATTTCTCTCAGTTATTGAATGTACATAGCGTCAGTGATGTTAGGCAGATAGAAATGCATACAGTAGAGCCGTTAATACCTGATCATAGCCCTTTTGAGTTTGAAATTGCTATTGCAATGATGAAAAAGTCTAAATCACCAGGAAGTGATCAAATTCCGGCAAAACTTATTCAAGCAGGATGCAAAATATTACGTCTTAAGATTCATAAGCTAATTACTTCTATTTGGAATAAAGAAGAATTGCTGATCAGTGGAAAGAGTCTACTGTACCAGTTCACAAGAAGTGTGATAGAACTGACTGTAGTAATTATCGGGGATTTAAGTCCATACAGAGATGAAATTATTGGGGATCATCAGTGTGGGTTTTGATGTAACAGATCAACTACTGATCAGATCTTTTGCATTCATCAGATACTGGAGAAAAAGCTGGAGACCTAAAGAAAGCCTATGATTCAGTTAGCAGGGTAGTATTATACAATATTCTGATAGAGTGTAGGGTACCCTTGAAACTAGTTAGCCTTATTAAAATGTGTTTAAGCAAAAAAAAAAAAAGTAAAGTACATATAGGTAAACATTTGTCTGATAATTTTCCTGTCTAGAATGGACTAAAACTAGGAGATGCTTTATTACCTCTGCTTTTCGGCTTTTTCTTTAGAATATGCCATTAGGGATGTCCACAAAAACCAGGTTGGACTGAAATTAAATGGGACACATCAACTTTTGATCTCTGTTGATGATGTGAATCTACTGGTGATAATATAGATACCACAAAGAGAAACACACAAACTTTATTTGATGGTACTAAGGAAGTAAACACAGAGAGAACTAAATTTATATGTTGCTGTCACGTCACCAGAATGCAGAGAAAAATCATGACATAAAGACAGGAAACAGATGTTTTGAAAATGTGGCACAGTTCAGATATCTGGGAACGACTATAACAAATCAAAATCTGATTCAGGAGGAAATTAAGATGAGATTGAATTTGGGAAATGCTTGTTACTATTCTGGTCAGAACCCTTTGTATTGTCATCTGCTGTCTGAAAACATAAAGATTAGAATATGTAATTTTGCCTGTGGTTCTGTATGGGTGTAAAAGTTGCTCTCTGACATTAAGGGACTAACATATACTGTGGGTGTTTGAGAACAGGGCGATGAGGTGAATATTTGGACCGAGGAGAGGTGAAGTGACAGGAGGTTGGAGAAAACTGCATAATGAGGAGCTTCATAACTTGTACCCTTTGCCAAGTATAATTATAATGATTAAGTCAAAGAGAATCAGATGTATAGGGCATGTAGCATGGATGGGGGAGAAGAGGAATGCATATAGAATATTAAAGGTATATAGTGGGTTATTCTAGACAACAATCGTTCTGAAAAAGACAATTAGAGAGATAGGCTGGGATGGTATAGATTTGATTGATCTGGCTCAGGATAGGAACCAGTGGAGGCCTCCTGTGAACACGGTAATGACCCTTCGGGAAGTTCTTAAACAGCTGCACAGTTGGCGGTTTCTCAAGAAGGGCTCAGGTCAATGAATGAGTTAGTATTGGTGTTGCACAAATCAACTGCTTAATCCTATTTATCAGAATAACCTATGTTTACTGTCAAAATCTTGGAAAATATATTGTGAAAGGACACAAACTGTTGTAATGTGAAAGCAGGTGTTACAAATAGTTACCACGGCCCTCTAAAGAATAATTCTGAAATCATTGATGGTTGACAACTAATATCGTGTGAGTCTCAAACTGTGGGTGTGAAGCCACTTATGGCACACACACTAGCATTCATGTGATGTACAACCTGCACTACTAAAGATAATGACTTCCTTGTTGGGTGTTTTCATTGCAGACTGGAATCAACATGAACACTGCAGTATGCAGCCAGACAATTGTAGGCCAATTTTCTTTTCAATTCAGTAAAACTAATACACCAGTGGTTGTTACTGTCCAGCAGTAGCATGCTGTCCTGTATCATTACTAGGGTGACAGACTTTCGGCCATGAATTTAATGGAAACTTAGTCCCAACAAATTCTGCACATTTTTAGCGGCGCGTCATCACTCCAGCAGTCGTTCAAGGAATGAATATTATTAAACAAAACAATTAATTTATGTTGTATGTAAATTTACAAATTTGCATGTTTCTTAGTCCTAACCTATATGAATTTGTCCACTGATGCTGCAAAAATTAGCATTTTTTTATCTTGTTCAAATTTAAATAACTCTTTACAACTATAGTCATAATTAAATGCTATCATTAGCTCTGATTTAATTAGTCCTGAGCTGCTTTGATTTCTCTGTTCAGTCCGTTTATTGCACATCAGTGAAGGAACACTTTAGTATGGGGCTTGGAGCCTGGGATGCTTAATACAAAGCCTAAGATATTATTAAGGTTTGGCACATTAATTTCTTTGTTTCTTAAATCACTGAAAAATGGACCCAACTTCATTTTATGCTTATTGTTTTTACCACA